AAAAACTTAAGGAAGTATAGTTATTCGAAGACTACCAGTCAAGTACAGGAATCGTATCATCTTTCACCTTGCCTTTTTTTGCTTACTAATGAAAATGCATAAATATATAGTAAACCTGATAGTAATTCATTGGTTCTATTACTAGACGATAATAACTAAGGAATGATTTTTTTTTTTTTTTAGTGTTTAATTATAGCAAATCCACTAAATCGAGTTTACATTTTACATGCTTTTTTTTTTTTTTTTTTTTTTTTTTTACTTACAGTAGACCCAAATGATTTGTACATTGTAGAACCCCTCAAGTTTTCTCCGGAAAAGAAGGTAATTGTTTATTTCTTTTTAAGTTTATTGCCATGTTTTGTGATAATAACTGAAGAGGTTGAAAGGTTTAAGGTAATTACCTTTACATAGTCCTTAACTGAATCTTTATTTTATATCATGGTAATGGTGTAAATAAATATTTACAGAGGTCAGCAAGCTGTGACCCACAGGCAATATGTAGTCTATTTGATATGGGCCATGAGCCAAGATAGGTTTTCTCATTTTTAAAGAATGATGAAATAAAACAGAACAATATGCATGAGAAAAAATATGTGACCTGCAAAGCCTAAAATATTTACTATCTATCTGACCATTTATAAAAAAACATTTGTTGATCCTTGGATGATTGTCATTATTTGTTACCTAATGTATGCCAAGCACAGAGCATGCACCATTCCTGTAATCCTCACCACAACCTGAAGATGATGTTATCCTCATTTTTTTTTTAATGAAAAAACAGAAATTGGAAATGTACTTAGGTTTTTTTGGCTTCAAAGTATTTGCTTTTTCGTTTTGCCTTTCAAATAAAGTTATACTAATTTTAATTAGTAGTATTTACATCTAGGAAAGAAAGAACTTGGGCTTTGTAGGCAAATAGCCTAAGATTCAATCTCACCCTGTCTACTTACTACATCGTAACTTAGGCAAGGAACCAAACCTCTGAACATTACTTTTCTCATTTAAGAATCAAGGATGACTGACACAAGAACAGAAAACCAAACACCGCATATTGTCACTCATAGGCGGATGTTGAACAATGAGAACATGTGGACTCAGGGAGGGGAGCATCACACACTGGGGCAGTTGAGGGGTGCTAGGGGAGGGACAGCGGGGGGTGGGGAGGGATAATATGGGGAGAAATGCTGGATATAGTCAAAGGGGGAATAGAGGCAGCAAACCACCTGGTTATGTATGCACCTATGCAACAACCCTGCATGACCTGCGCATGTACCCCAGAACCTAAAGTAAAATTAAAAAAAAAAAATCAAGGATGAAATACTCACCTTTCAGGGTTAATAACTGCTATAATACATGAAAGCAACCTGTATGATATGTGGCTCATAGTAGGTATTCAGATATTAGTATCACTCCTTAAACCTATATTCTTAGGTAGCAGGTAAGCAATTTAAGGAGTTTGATTCAGTAATATTTACCAAATGGGAAGGTGATGGTAGTATTATATAGAACGTTAACAGTGTATGTGTTTTGTGTTGTTTATAATACTGTTTTACTTTTCACCAGGAGATGGCACTTTTCTCTGTTACCTCAGCTCTCTAGATGTTTGATAAGGTTACTATGGGAAATATCATTACTAATTTTTCTTCACTTGTGTTATAGAAGAAGCGCTGCAAGTACAAAATTGAAAAAATTGAGACCATAAAGCCTGCAGAACCGTTGCACCCCATAGCCAACGGAGACATTAAAGGAAGGAAGCCCTTTACGAACCAAAGAGATTTTTCTAATATGGGAGAAGTTTATCACTCCTCTTATAAAGGTCCTCCATCTGAAGGAAGCTCAGAAACTTCATCGCAGTCAGAAGAGTCCTATTTTTGTGGCATTTCAGCTTGTACAAGTCTGTGCAATGGACAGTCTCAAAAGACAAAGACTGAGAAGAGGGCTTTAAAACGAAGGCGATCTAAAGTCCAAGACCAAGGAAAATTGATAAAAACTCTAATACAGACTAAGTCAGGATCATTGCCGAGCCTGCATGACATAATCAAAGGAAACAAAGAGATCACCGTGGGAACATTTGGTGTTACAGCAGTCTCGGGACATATCTAAAATTAATTGAACTTTTCATACTGAAGACTTTTTTGTTGTTGTTCTTTGAAGAACAGTCTGTGATATTTGAAGGGTTTTGGGGAGGGAGAAAATATTAATGGGAAACGTATTCAGAAATTATGGTTTCTGCCTTTTTAAAAAGTAGATGGGATTGTGTCAGTCTTGGTTAATGAGCTACAGTTTTACAAAGCTGATCACTTCCTATAAGAACAATGGTAGACATTTTATAAAGATGTTTTTTCACAAGATTAATTACTGGGACAAAAGTAATTTGGAAGCCCAGTTCCTTAGTTGGGATAGGAATGAAAGCCTAAACCTCTTCCTTTAGCTTTGTTCCTATTTCTTGCACCTTCCCATATTTATGTGCCTTTTGTCTATTTATAATGCCACTGGAAGAGGCGAGAGAACTTTTTCTGTTCTTCGATTTCTTTTATAACTTTGTTAGGTTTTTGAAGCTGCAAACACTACAAGGCTTTGAGGGGGTCTGTACCTGAAGCTCAGCAGTGTGGGTCAGACAGTGTAAAGATCCTAAAGACTTGCCAACTAGATCTTTGTTTAGCAAACTCACTGGAAATGAACACTCAATGGAATTTTAAAGTCTGTTCTTTTAGGTAAATGGTGATGCTGTTGTTATTTTCATTTATTCAGACTAGGTTACTTTTTACTTAGTTACTAACTCAATGAGAAAACCCTACAGGATCGTTTTTTGCAAACAACTGATATATGCAAACAAATTTTTGACAAATTCACCTTTTAAACACACTTAACCATTTGTGAAGATTTTCTTTAGCTTACATTTTAAACATTCACAATAAACACTAATCCTCCAAACTTTCACTATTTTTATTACTGCAAATATAAAATTTGAAGGTTTGACCTATTAGTACAAGTCTCATATGATGTAATCACTGCCTATGTACATATGCACGGATCCAGTTAGTGAGTTTGTCAAGCTTTGTCTAATTGGCTAAGTCTAAGGGATTATTATTCCTTGATGTTTGTTTCATATTGGCTACAAATGTGCAGAGGTATACATATGTGATGTCGATGTCTGTCTTTTTTTTTTGTCTTTAAAAAATAATTGGCAGCAACTGTATTTGAATAAAATGATTTCTTAGTGTGATTGTACAGTAATGAATGAAAGTGGAACATGTTCTTTTTGAAAGGGAGAGAATTGACCATTTTGTGTTGTGATGTTTAAGTTATTAAGCACTTTTAGTAATAACTTTTTAAACTTGTCTAATACCTTTCTTGGGTATTGTTTGTAATGTGACTTATTTAAAGCCTTTTTTGTTTGTTTAAGTTGCTGCTTTAGGTTAACAGTGTGTTTTAGATGATTTACATTTCTTTCCAGTCTGCACAATTAGCCATTCAGAGCAAGAGGGCCTGATTTTATAGAAGCCCTTTGAAAAGAGGTCCAGATGAGAGCAGAGGTAGAGTGAGAAATTATGTGATCTGTGTGATGTGGAAAGAGAATTTTCAATATGTAACTACGGAGCTGTAGTGCCATTAGAAACTGTGAATTTCCAAATAAATCTGAACCCTTGTCTTTATTAATTACTGGCCCTTCTGTCTTTTAAAAAAGATCTCACAAATTAATATTTGAACAGAGATTTAAGTTTTTGCCACTTTTAAAGCTAAATATAGCAGTATTCCATTCACTGCTGATTGCATTTCAGCTAACTACAAAATGATTATACTTTTACATAAACATTTTGCTCCCTATACTATCAAAATTTCACTTTAACTTTTTCATATCTAAATACAACATAACATTTTGCAACTTGAGGTTTATTTTTTCCTCTTTCACATTATAACTACATGAGAAAAAACAAGAAGTGAAAATTGTATTAGATTTGTGCCTATTAAGAAGCAAAAACTTTATAGGTATTGATCTGATGGGCTTTTAATGTTCCCTGATGACCAACTTCATTTTATTTCTTCTAATGTTAAGTAAAGCATTAAAACAGTATGAAATAAGAAGAAACTGGGGGATTGGTAAGAAAGAGGTTGCAAAGTAAAACAATTCTTTTAATTGGATTTTTAAAAGCATTAAAGTTGTGGCTCACGCCTATAATCCCAGCACTTTGGGAAGCCAAGGTCGGCAGATCATTTGAGGTCAGGAGTTGGAGACAGTCTGACCAACATGGTGAAACCACGTCTCTACTAAGAATTTAAAAAAAAAAAGCCAGGCATTGTGGCGCATGCCTGTGGTCTCTGCTACTCAGGAGGCTGAGGCAGGAGAATTGCTTGAACCCAGGAGGCAGAGGTTGTGGTGAGCTGAGATCATGCCAACTGCATTCCAGCCTAGGTGACAGTGACAGAGTGAGATTATTTAAAAAAAAAAAAAAAAAAACTATGCATACATATAATTTGAGAAATTAGACAGTTTTATAAGGCTTATAGAGTAAGAACAGAAAACGTTTCTAATCTGTAACATCACACACACACACACACACACCGGTACCACCTACCTTTCTTCACCAAAGATTTCTTGCTTCCCAGTAGCAACCATTTTTGACTCTCTCTACAGTTATTGTGCTTCTGTTACCTTGCTGCTTATTTTTCCATTTTTAGATGTGTCCTCTGTTTGAATATATAAACTTGAATTTGTTAATGTAATTGGATAAGTCTATTCAAAATCACACAACAGGACTACTTAGAAATACTGCTTTTCTTCAACTGCTTAAAAAACTTTCCAATCAATGAATAAGTTGAACACGATGTAGTTTTGCCCAGGTTCACCAGTTGCTAATCTTTTTAGTTTTATGTATATGTATTTTATATGTATATTTTCCTATGTATTTCAGTATTGATTCTACAATTGGACCTTTATTATTCTGGCCAAACAAAACAAAATATATTCCCTCTTGGCTCTCAAAAGATTTCTNTATATATATATATATATAAAGAAACACATTTTTTGCTGAGCCATTTGAAAGTAAGTTGGGACATTATGACCCTTTACCTGTAAATACTGTAGCATATTTTTTCCTAAAGTAAGGACGTAAGGATGTTCACTTACGTGACCATAATACCCATATGATATGTAAGAAAGTGAGTTAACTCCATAATATGTAATACACAATTTATAGTCAAACTTCTCCAGTTGCCCTTGTTTGTTTATTTTGGTCCAGGGTCCAGTCAAGGTTCATTTGGTTGTATTGTCTATTTAGTGTCTAAAAAAAAAAAAAGACTTACTTCCTGACTTTGCATATTGTCTTTGTGCAAGGGCCATACTTACTTTCTCTGAATCATCCCAGTTTTGGTGGCTGAGCTGCCCAAATTAGTCAGAAGAGCTTTTCTGAGTGATGTGTTGATGTTGTCACTGAAATTTTATCCCAACTCATGAGTGTTTATAATTAACACATTCTTAAAAATATCCTGTTGGAAATGTATTTAGGACTTCTGCATTACACTCCACTTTATATACTTTAAAAATTAATTTTTCAGGCTGGACATGGAGGCTTGCATTTACTGTAATCCCAGCATTTTGGAAAGCCGAGGCAGGTGGATCATTTGAGTTCAGGAGTTCGAGACCAGCCTGGTCAACATGGTGAAACTCCATCTCTACGAAAAATAAAAAAATTAGCCAAGTGCGGCGGTGTACACCTGTGGTCCCAGCTATTCAGGAGGCTGAGGTGGGCGAATCCCTTGAACCCAGGAGGCAGAGGTTGCAGTGAGCTGCGATTGCTAGACGACAGAGTGAGACTCCGTCTGAAAAAATTTTTTTTTAAATATTTGTTTACCACAGAGTTTATTACTGCTATGTTGAAGTCATATAGGCTGGGCTACTAAATGTTTCATATTTTTTGACAGGTAGACCTTTAGTGCTGCTGGTAGTTATACTACATTTTTTCTAGTGCCTTTATTGATTCTCTTGAACTATTTCAAAATTTCTCCTTAAAACACACACATCTCCCTATCCCTACTGTCAGCAGAGGACCTTCCTATTTCTCTGAGAAAATGCAGAATTAAAGATCTTTTCACAAGCTCCAACCTACCAATTTATGTTTATATGATCTGCCTTTGCTCCTGTAGCTGTCTCCTTGAAGCCAGTGCTCTATTTGTGAACTAGATGGTGTCAACAAAAAAGAGTTCAACTCTGTAAAATATTTGAAGAGATTTATTGTGAGCCAAATATGAGTTACCATGGCCAGTGACACAACCATCAGGAGGTCCTGAGAACATGTTGCTCAAGGTGAGTAGGGCACAGCCTGATTTTATATGGTTTTTGGAGACATGAGACATTAATCAAATACATCCAACATTGGTTTAGAAAAGCAGGACAACTTGAAGCAGGTGCTTCCAGGCCACAGATAAATATAAAATTTTCTGATTGACAATTGGTTGAGTTTGTCTAAGGACCTGAGATCAATAGAAAGGAAACGTTTGAGTTAAGATAAATAATTGTAAAGACCAAAGTTTTATTGTACAGAGGAAGATTTTAGCTAGCAGGCTTCAGAAAGAATAGGCTTGTAAAATGTTTTCTTATTGAACCCAAAAGGGTGGCTGACTTTTAGTTGATTATCTCCTGGATCTGGAAATAAAAACTAAATAAAAAAGCAAAAAGAGGATTCTCTACAGAATGTAGATTTTTCCCACAAGAGACCACTTTGCAGGGCTATTTCAAGATATGACAAGAAGGCTGGGTGCGGTGGCTCACACCTGTAATCCCAGCACTTTAGGAGGCCAAGGCAGGTGAATCACGAGGTCAGAAGATTGAGACCATTCTGGCCAACATGGTGAAACCCCGTCTCTACTAAGTATGTAAAAAATTAGCTGGGCACGGCGGTACGTGCCTGTAGTGCCAGCTACTCAGGAGGCCGAGACAGAAGAATCACTTGAACCTGGAGGCGGAGGTTGCAGTAAGCCGAGATTGCACCCACTGCACTCCAGTCTGGCCGACAGAGTGAGACTCCATCTCAAAGAAAGAAAAAAGATACGACAAAAAAAAATATTTGGGGTGAATACATTTTTACTTCTTTCCTTATTTGTTATGTGATGTTGTGCCAGAGCCAGGTTAGAAAGCAGGCCACCTAATATGGGGTTAAATAAAACCCCTCTGATGAGACTTTATGGCTTGCAGAATGTGATTTCTGAGACCCCTTGGGTAGGAATTTGGGCAAGGTAGGAAAAAAATGTCAGTGTTTAGTCCTTAATTTCATTCTTCATTTGACCTCTCTCCGAGGGCACTGCTTCATTTTGTTCTCTCCTGCACCATTTTTTTTCCCCTCCAAATAGGTCTATCCCATCAGCATACTAATATACTGTTACCAGTATGAACCATTTTGACCCCATTTTCCCCTCCAGTTACTGCCTATTTCTCTGCTCCATTTTATAGCAAAACTCATCAAAAGAGATGGCTGCCCTCACCATCATCGATTTTTACCATTTTTTCTAGAACTCACCCCAGTCAGGACATTGATCTCACCACTCTACTGAAACTGCCCTTGTCAAGAGCATCAATGATCTCATGTTACTAAAACCAGTAAGAGTTCTTAGTTCTCATCTTACTCGGCCCATCAGCAGTGCATAACTCAGCTGATCATCCCCTTGCTGCAGCACCTTCTTCACTTGGCTTCCAGGACACTGCAGTTTCCCGTCTACAACAATGGTGACTCCTTTTTGGTCCCTTATTCTCATCTCTTTTCAATATTGGACTGCCTCAAGGTTCAATTCTAGAACCTCTACTCTCTATTCATCCACTTCCTATGTTGATTGTTCCTATTTTTATGTCTCCGGTTTCAAGATTTCCTTTTCTGTTTCATTGATCTTTGTATCTTTTTCTTAGCCAATGCTGTTTTAATTATTGCACTTAATTGCCTGTTTATATGAATATACATATATATACATGTATATACAGTTATTACATATATTAAATACATAGTTTTTACATCTATCTGTTGTTCTTAGTTATCCATAACTATACATATATATTTAATATTATATAATCTGTAATTATTTTATATAATTATTTAATACTATATAATTAATTTTAATATTAATGCAAAATATATTAATATAGATTTAATTATACATTTAATTACATATTGGTATATAATTAAATATATATAATTTATAATTTGTTTATGTATAGTATATGTGTAATTATATAGTATAATTATAGTATATATGCATATGTAATTAAATATATAGTATATAATTATGTATTTCTACATAAATCTTTAATTATATATAGTAATATGTATACAAATATATGTAATATGTATATATAGTATATATTTTATAGTGTATACATATATGTAATATATATAGTAATAGGTAAATATATAGTATGTATTTAATTATATGTTATATATACATATATGTAATATGTATATTTTATAGTATGTATACACATATATGTAATATGTATGTATAGTATACATTGTAATATGTAAATATACATAGTATATAATTACTAGATAATTATGTATGTGGTATATTAGGTTGGTGCAAACTGAATTGTTTTTGCAATAAAAGTAATAGTATATATAATTAATTACTATAGATTTAATAATATAGAGTAATGTATATATAATATGCATATATGTATACATTGAAAGTAATGGCAAAAACTGCAATTACTTTTAATGGTTCTGCCCTTGCTTCTAGAGAAAAAATTAAGTGGACCTCATTATTACTCTGGGCACTGTAAGTTATGCAGCAGTCTCAAATTACCTTTTAGAATATGCAGTCCCAGGCCAGGCACAGTGGCTCACTCCTGTAATCCTAACACTTTGGGAGGCCTAGGCGGGTGGATCACCAGAGGTCAGGAGTTCGAGACCAGCCTGGCCAACATGGTGAAACCCCTACTAAAAATATGAAAAAATTAGCCAGGTGTGGTGGCAGGTGCCTATAATTCCAACTACTTGGGAGGCTGAGGCAGGAAAATCGCTTGAACGCAGAGGGCAGAGGCTGCAGTGAGCTGAGATCACACCAATTCACTCCAGCCTAGGCAAAAGAGCGAAACGTCTTAAGGGGGAAAAAAAGAATATGCAGTCCCAGATAAAAACTAAACTTTCCATTTCATAATGATTTAGAGCCACATGCTGTTCACAGGTTAAGACCTGAGGCAGATTCGACACCTGGGTGAGTGTGGCTGACATCTTCTTGCTTCTTTGTCCACTGTTTCTCTTCTCGCTTGCTAATTGAGGTTTCAGACACCTCCAGGACTGGAGTAGCAGAAAAGGGAAGTAAAGGAAGCAAGAGAATTCTAATTTGACTTCTGTTGTCATAAGATGGCTTCAGGCTCTCTGGGTCTAGCAGACATGTAAAAATGAATTTTTCCTTCATGGATACTCTTGAGGGTTTTCTCGTGAAATCTCTTGCTCAGGTTTTCTCACCTATGTTCCCTTGATATGGACGAAACACCAGTCTCTGGCTTATCAGATATTCTTTACTCAGCTCCAAGGATCGAGTAATATCTCTAGCTTCTTTCTGCTGAGTCCTTATTCCTTCTTCATGCAATCCTATTGGAGAGCACCCAATTTAGCCTCTGCCAAATGGCTCTCATGTGTGGTTTATATTTTGTCTCCAGAAAACATGCATTCTTGGCCCACTAACTCTGGCAATGCTGTCCAATCCCAACATGATAGCAAACCCTTTGTCCATGCCATCAGAGTAGTAAGCAAGCCTGTCTCTCAACGTAAATTTTCTAGGTGGGATTCAGATACCAGTCTCCTGTGTTGCTTTTTCTCCCAACATCGGAGGGTACATATTCCTGGGGGAAGTGATCTTATTCCTAGATTGATGTAAATCTTGGTTAATTTATGTCAATCACTGCAAATCTAGTCTCCTTGCCAGTAACTATCTTAGGCATGGATTTGTGGTGCAATTCTAGCCAATGAGAAACAGAGAGTTCTGTGGAGAAGGGTGTTTTGGAGAAAAATTTCTTCACTCTTATAAAGCAAGCTGTAGTAAAAGATGGACTGTTTTCCCCTTCTGGACAATTTCTTATCTGAATGATATGTGTAAATCTCTCACATATAACAGAAGCCTATGTGAGAAACTCTGTCATGGTAGAGATGCAGAGTGGGAAAAGAAGTGCCTATGACATTGCTGAGTCACTGAATGAAGCTGTCCTGGAGCCACTCCACCTTGAGACTCCTTGTTAAATGGAAGAATCCATCCTCATCATGTTTAAGCCATCCCCAGTTGGGTTTTGTGTTTCTTGCAGCCACAAGCCTCCCATTTGACAGAAGTGGTGCTATGTGCTGAGACAATGATAAAACACTGTACATGTATTCTCCTATTAACATATATACGTGTGTGTGTGTGTGTGTGCGCGTGTGTGTGTATGATGTTATTGTATCAGTTTAAAGATAGGTAAACTGAAACATAATGCGGTCATAAAGTTAAGAAGTGAAAGAGGTGGGATTTAAACCCCATTTGTCTGACTTCAATGCCCAAGCCCTCAGCCACCGTGCTTTAACACCTCCTGGTGGAGACGCAGCAGGTCACTACCTGAAAATATCTGGGACAGCCCTCTGAGGAATTCAGAAGGTGGGATGCTTTGCAGAAGCACCAATTTCTGGCATTAAGCCAGTGGAACTTGTCCCATAAAGTCCTTATTTTGTAGTCAGAGCCTGGTGAGACCTAGAACTCAGAAATGCATTAACTTTATACTTTTGATACCTATTTGGGAAGGAATGCTGCACTTAGTATCTGTCCTCGTAGTTTTACTTTTTAAAAAATTAGTCAAGAAGCTCTCAAAGTATATTTTCTAATAGAACTTTGGAAAAAAAATCATAATGCTCTTTGAACAGATTATGGGTACCAAATTCTTAATGGAAACATTATTATCAAAAAACAGATTTAGTCCAGGGAATTGGGAGTCTAAAGGGAGTTCTTTCAGGTAAACTTAAACAGGAATTTTTAAGAGAAAATGTCCAACTCAGGGAAAATGTGCTGAGAATACATATAGATAAGGATATAAAGTTCTTCTTTAAAAGAGGTGTTTTGTTCCCTGAGACAAATAAATACTTTATGAACACTATTGATTAGGCAGGGTCTGCCACGCTCTCAGCCTTAAGGGGTCAGGAAGTCTCTACATTGTCAAGTTCTAAAGTCCAGGCATCAATCAGTAGAAATGAACAGGATTTATATTCACAGTAAAGAGAAGTCTTCCCTCCCCAGAAGTAGGCAATCAGAATTCTTATTTATTGGGGTTTATGGAACTTTAAAACAGAAAGTACAAAAATGACTCAAAATCCCCACATGAAACAGAATATTGATTTGAGGGAGCATGAAATGCTAATATACATCAGATCAAAGAGACTCGATTTAAAAATAACAACTACGAACACAGCAAAGAACGGAAACTGTGGCTCTCTTCACCCCGAGTCTCTGATCTCCCCCTAAAACCCCAGAACACCACTCACATGAGCCTTGTTAGCTCAGGTTTGTGTGTCTGTGTCCCAGAGCAACTGAAGTTATCACATTGCTCAGAAATAACTAAAATATTTGCCACAGGGCCACATTGCCTATTGAGGCTAGCTGAAGCACATTGTTGTTTGCCTAGTTATAATTATATCAAATAAATAGAATTGGGCAATTTAGGGTGCTGATTTTCTTTTCTATGGTCTAGATCAGTTTAGAGCCATCTCTCCTGACTATTTGTGAACATTTAGTAAACCTCTTTGTCTGAGTTTGGTGCTTACTAGAGGTAGTCAATCGTATGGAGACTCTGTAAACTGACTCATAGACTGTCAGTTCTGACAGAGATTATCAGTTAATTCATTTTTGAAAAGTGGTCACGAGTTTGTATGGAAATGGTCATGAATTCCATTCTGTAATATTTATGGAAGAGGAGTAACACAAGTAAAAGATAATTCTTTAACTAAAATGTAAGGAAATGATTTATTGTCCCCAGAATTTCCACTGAAGAACATTACGGATGTACAAACTTCCACTGGTATTTAGGCGAGCTAATTTCTCCCCACGTTTGTAATCTGGTGGCTTTCACTGTATGTTTTATAGGTCTCAGACTCTCTGTGGGGCCTAGTAACTGCCAATTATTTGCAATTGATTTAGTGCCCTGAGGTCAAAAAAGGGTCTGAGAAAATCTTTTATTGCTTGACCCACTTCAAAACTTTTCCTCAGCAGCTCAGCTCAGTCCTTTAAAATCCTCGTAGTCCAATAATACATTCTCGCAATACATACTACCCTGAATTGGGGGTAGGGAAGCAGGAGGCCCAGTTTAGCTCATGCTGGGTTCTGTCAAGCCTTCTCCATTTTCCTTCATGGTGGCCTGAAAAGAGAGAAGGTCAGGCCCACCTGCCCTCCTGCTTTATCTGGGCCTGCTTCCATTCCTTGTGAGTGCTGCGTGGACAAGTCCACATGGACACACACATTTGTGCACACACACACGTGCCTTTCAGGAAAAAAATCTCATAAGTTTTCAGACAAAGACTGTCTAAATACACATTTAGAAAAAAGTGTTCTAGCTATCTTCATCACCCCCAAAATGCCTCTGTTCTAACATTTAATTATGCTATCATAATGATCACAATTTGCTTATCTGTCTCTCCTTGTGATTAGAACTGAGAGGTTCCTGAAAAATATAGCCCTCAACTAATGCTAAAACATATGCATAATTCAGCTAAAAGTCATAATCCATGAATTCTTGGAGATCTCTGTCTGAAATATTAATGTTAGCTTGGTGAAAAAGTAATTGCAGTTTTTGCCATTACTTTCAATGGAAAAGCCACAGTTACTTTTGCACCAGCCTAATATCTGCATTTGCAGTTATAAAGCTTCACCATGACCAAATGCTAGCGCCACAGGCAGAACTGTTTTAGGTGTTATGTGGCATGGATAAAACACAGTCCCTAATCTCAAGAACTTCATAATCTAGTGAGGAGAGTGGACCAAGAAATGCAAACAAATAGCCACTAATATAATATCATGTTTAAATGCTCTAGCACTCACATGACTATAGGAACAAGGTGGGTATAATTCTGCCAGGGGAGGGCAGGTTTCACAGAGAAACTGCCTCTTGAGGTATGTGTTGAAAAACAAGCAGGAGTTTACCCGGCGACAGAAGCAATGATGAGAAACATTGTCAGGGAAAGGTAGGAGTTAGGAGGGGGCAACATGAGAACATTTTGTCCAGAAAGAGCCTGTAGAACTCAGAGGCATCAAGGGCAGTGAGCTTCATAGCGACAACTGGTCATTGACCAAATTTCAATTTCTTTTCCAGGGTAGAAGTCATCAGATTTTTATATCTCCTGTTGGCTTTCTCTCAGCATATGAAGATGTAATTCCTGAGCCACCATCCTGAGTTTTTCTGCTCATGGGGTTTGGCAGGTATGAGGCTCCCAGTTACTCTCTAGCCTTCCCTGTCTTCATGTTTGAGACGATGGCTTATGATTGAGATGATGGCTAGCTGCGGCGAGGGGCGCAGTCTTGGGCTATAGTCGTGGATCCTTATGGGATCCTTATTGGTTGTATTCTGGGCTAATCAACTGAATTAACCTAAAATCCGTGGGTACCCTAGGAATTTTAAATTTCTTTCAGGTAAGGAGTGGACAGAAGCGAGTCTCTTGCTTCGTTGCTTTTCTCCATAGAGCACATAGAAAAAAATCCAAAGTAAATATGAGAAGATCTTAGTTTTAAATAGTCTTTAATAATTGACAGGGAGGAAATTAAAGACACAAGTGACCAGGAAGCTTAAGTACAAAGGTCTGAATCCAGGACAAGATTAATCCTGATAGGTATTTATCTCAGACAATTACCCTCTCTTCCATGGTAACTCTCTTATAGAAAAAAGATTTCAGATGAAAGGGGTAGCCCACCCAGGGGAATTATTTTCCTTAAGTAACATGAGACTGAGAACACATGTCAAATCCATTTCTCATTATTCAAAAGGTTTCTCAGATGATGGTGCAAGGCCTATGTTTCAGCGTGGGAGGGGAGTATAGTGTAGAATTTGAACATTACTACCCAAGGATCTGATGAGCCTCTCAGGATGTAGTCCTGTCCAAAGCTGGTATTGCTCACTGCACAAAGCCAGTTAGTCAAGAGACAAGGTGTTGGAGCAAGGAAAGAGACTTTTTTAGGAGACCTAATTTACTTATTAGTTTGGAGAGCCAGCAAGCCAAGAAGATAGACTAATGTCTTAAAGAGCCGTCTTAAAGGCATACATCTCAAGCTTCTTTTTATGCTGAGGAAGAGGGAACGAGGGGATATTAAAGTCAGGAGGTGACTGATGACCACAGACACCGAGCATCAGCAGGAGTTCAAGGAGGTTGTGAAACTTATCTTTGGTCAGGTGACAGTGTTCCTATAAATCTTGGCATAACATTGTTACTTGTGCATGCACCCTCCTTACCTCCTCGGGAGCTTAGTGTTAGAAAGGAACTATTATCATCCTTGCTTTGAACTATAAATTCCTGCCATAGTTAGCTTCGCCTACATGCAGGGATGAGCAAAGGTAGTCAGCTTGTGAGGTTAGAATCAAGATGGAGTCAGTTACATTAGATTTCTCTCACTGTTACAAGGGCCTCTTTGAGAACCACTGGTCTATAATGGAAGTTCTTAATCTGGGCTTAGCAGAGAGTATCTGAGAAACCTGAAATTATTTGCAGAAATTTCAATTTCTTCTTATTTTTGTAGAAGTTTTTTCCAAAAATCTTATCTTTTTTGGAGTCTTTCATCAATTTAATGAAAGGGTCTGTCACTCCCAAACAGGCTTAAAACCTAGTTTAATACAATGTGTTTCAATATCTTACTTCTTTTTTTGGTGGGCAGATAGAGGGTGGGAGAAAAAAACTGATGAAGTCTCCCTTTGATGTTGTATCACATATCCCTAAAGAGAGACCTACAGGACACAGCAAAAATCACGCCAGAGCATTTTTTTTTTTTTTAATCTGGCTGTTTTCACAATTCTGGCAATAAATCACAAAGTATCCAATGAGGAGGAAATGGGAAGCCAACATCCTCCTCAGAGGCCCACATTTCTATACTAGCTCAGATACAAACAGAACTTGTCCAGGAGTGGGAGGTTTTATGCAGGAACACAGAAGAGTGGCATTGATATGGACAGGAGGCAATACTAGGGAAATACTAGGAAGAAAAGGGTAAGATCCCTGGCGGAGCCCCAGCCTCCAGCCTGGACCTGCTACCCAATCTGAGAACATGCATTCCTGGTTGCCTGCCTGAACGTTGCCTTTTCTAAAACCACCCTGTCCCACCCCACCCCCACCCTATACGCATAAAAACCCCAGGTTCCATTGGCAGAATGGTGGAGTGGCAGGGAGAGAAGAGAAGAAGCAGTCAGACGTTGGAGAGAAACAGTTTGACCTCAGAGGGACGGCTTGACAGGGGACCTTGGAGAAGAATTTGGCTGGGGATGGCCAAACTCCAGGGGAAGACTACCTTCCCATTCCATCCCCTTGCCATCCCATTGAGAGCCACTTTCATTGGCAATAAATTCCTCCACATTTACCATCTTCAATTAGTTGGTGTGACCTGATTCCTCCTGGATGCCAGACGAGAACCTGGGTGCAGGTATAAGAGGCTGTCACACTGACCCTCCACCAAGCCATCTAACACTTAAGCCATCCACAGATGGCAAAACTAAAGGAGTACACTGTAATACATACCCTCTGGGGCTCCAGGGGTCTTGGGCAACCCTAGATGCTGCTGTGGGCCTGCATGGAGTTCTGCTCCTACTAGTTGCCCAGAAGTGCTCATCCTGGCCTCTCCACCTGCTCACCTGTGTGCTCCCCTTCCAGTGAAGAGTTGAGAGCTGTGGTCTAAGTAAATGAGCCAACCCCTTCACGAGTCCTATAAAGAGGTCAAGGGAACTATCCCGTTTCAGTATAACCAAGTGTGACTATGCTAAGAAAAGCTGAAAGAAAGAGAAAAACATGAGGCAAGGCTTACAAAAATGTGACATCTAAGTATAAGGGCTTCTTTTCTAATAGAGCAAGATAACTAAGATAGAAGGACATGGAAAAGTGACATAATTCACTGATAATAGACAGCAGGAAGAATAATGATGTTCCATATCAGCCTGGGAAGGTAAGAAAGACATCACTATAAGGAACAGAATAACAGCTTTCAAGCTGGTTCAGTGGACAAAATACCCTGGAGAATTTCACCAACAGAAAAGATGAGAATAATCTAGGTCACTATTTCTAATTCAAACCTGTGGGAACAAATGTGTTTCAGAGTTTTAAAATGTTTTCATTTTAGAAAGGTAATGTCTAGCTCAGGCTGCTGTAACAAAGTAACATAAACTGGGTGCTTAAACAACATACATTTGCTTCTCACAATTCTCGAGGTTGGCAGTCTGAGATCAGGGTGCCAGCAGGGTCAAGTTCTGGTCTATAGATGGCTGGTTTCTTGCGGTGACCTCACATGATGGAAAGAGAGCCAGCTAGCTGGCCTTTTCTTTCAAGGACACTAATCCCATTCATGAGGGCTCCAACCTTGTAATCTGATTACCTCCCAAAGGCTCCACCTCAAATACAATCATATTGGATTTAGGGTTTCAATACATGAATTTAGGGGAGACAAAAACATTTGGTCCATTGCAAATAGCATAGATATACCTTGGATGTAACACCCCCAATCTGGATCAGCTCTCCATGATCAAACTAATATTTGATCAAAATTCACATTTTGAGTTACATAAATATTTGCACTAGTGGGAAAACATACCCAACATACCCTTGTGGCAGATCAGGTTAAATATTGTCACCAAACGGATTCAATTTAGGTCTTGCTGCCAAATGACTTAGGAAAACTTTATTTTCAGATATTTTGGTCTAAAAGAATTGGAAGAAGGATTGATGATCTATCCATATTATAAATATACATACAGATCTCTACAGCTCAACAAATATTAATAAAGCATTTTATTGAATGTCACAGGTATCTACTAGCTAGAACACGTGCCACAGGCAGTAAAGGTATTTCCATGAGAGCCATAGGTAAAGAAAGGCAGATTTATTAGAGAAGGTATGACAATATATTGCTAGAATGCAATGGGCAGCACAGCAGAGAAGGGGCTGTTTTCAAAGAGGCAGGGGCTGAGGGTAGTTTTATAGGGTTATACTGGAGGGGGCTACTTGTGGAACAGAGCGAGGTCATTGTGCCCTTGGGTTGTTTGTGATTAGCCATCTCCCTTCCTTCCTTCCTTCCTTCCTTCCTTCCTTCCTTCCTTCCTTCCTTCCTTTCTTTCTTTCTTTCTTTCTCTTTCTTTCTTTTTCTCTCTCTCTCTCTCTCTCTCTCTCTTTCTTTCTTTCTTTCCTCTCTCTGTCTCTCTCTCTCTCCTTCCTTTCCTTTCCTTTCCTTTCCTTTCCTTTCCTTTCCTTTCCTTTCTTTCCTTTCTTTTTTTTGAAACAGAGTCTCACTCTGTTACCAGGCTGGAGTACAGTGATACAGTCACTATAATAATAATAAATAAAATAAAATAAATTTCTAAGGATGATTGGTTATTTCTGATGCCTCACACTCTTTCTAGTATACATTTTTTGAAAGCTGTTTATTGTCTCTACATTCAGAGCTGCAAGTTCTAAGTATTCTGGAATACTTAGTCTGAGCAAGGTGAATTAGTCTGAGCAAGGTGAATGTGATATTAATTAAAAACAAATTTTGGTCCTTCCCTACTTTTGTATGCTAATAATGACTGGTGGCTCTGGGACACTAAGGTAGCTTCAGGATGGAGGCTGGTCCTGGGAAAGACCAATGCATAGAAGGCTTGAAATTCTAGCCCCAACCCCAGACCTCTGAGGTGGGGAAAGGGACAAGAGACTGAGCTAAACACCAGCAGCCTATGATTTAATCAATTATGCTGAAGTATTGAAAAACCGCTAAATGACAGGGTTTGTAGAGCTTCTGGGCTGGTAAAAGCATCCATGTGCCAGGATGGTGGTGCACCCCAACTCTATGGAGACAGAAGCTCCTGTGCTGAGGGCCCTTCTGAACCTCACTCTATGAACCTCTTTATCTGACTGTTCACTAGATTTTTTTGTAATATGATAATAAACTGGTAAACATAAGAAAAATGTTTCCCTGAGTTTTATAAGCTGTTTGAGCAAACTGTGGAACCTGAAGAGGGATCATAGGAGCCCTCAATTAACAGCCAGTTGGCCAGAAGTACAAGAGGTCTAGGATTTGTGACTGACATCTGAAGTAGGGATAGTCTTGTGGCACTGGGCCCTTAGGCTGTGGAGTCTGTGCTAACTCTGGGCAGTTAGTGTCAGAACGGAATTGAATTGTCGGACACCCAGTTGGTGTGTGGAGAATCCAGCTATTGGTGTTGGAAAATGCTTCAGAGTGAGGCTTTAATTATGGCAATTCTCAAACTACGTTCTCATGGAACAGTCATGTTTTCTGAGCTGACTGAGGTACTCTCTGGTGTAGTTGAATGATTATAGGGTTTTAATTTAATGAAAAAACAAGTACAAGAGTTCTTCAAACTGTGCTTCATGAAAACAAAATTCAGAGATAAACCTAACACAGTCAGAAATGCATGTTTATTTTCTAATACCTAATCTAGTATCAAGGAACTCTGTTCAGCATTACAGAGTCCACAAACTGGTCACTAAGTCCAGTTTGAAATCCGAACAGATCTGTGATCTGATCTTGACTTAGCTACTTACAAACTGTGTGATTGTAGACAAATTATCTATCATTTCTAAGACTCAGTTTCTTCCCTCCTTCCTTCCTTCCTTCTTTCCTTCTTCAATTATCTATTATTTATTATTATCTATCATCTCTGTTTATTCACCTATCCACCTAGGATAGACGTTAAACTAGGCCAGGCATGGTGGCTCTTGCCTGTAATCCCAGCAATCTGGCAATCTGGGAGACCACAGCGGGTGGATCACCTGAGGTCAGGAGTTCCAGACCAGCCTGACCAACATGGTGAAATGCTGTGTCTACTAAAAATACAAAAATTAGCTGGGCATGGTGGTGGGCATTAGTAATCCCAGGTACTCAGGAGGCTGAGGCAGGAGAACTGCTTGAGCCCAGGAGGTGGAAGTTGCAGTGAGCTGAGATCACGCCATTGTACTCCAGCCTGGCTCAAATAATAATAATAATAAAATTAAAAAGATAGACATTAGCTATTCATTAATATCTTTTTTTTTTTTTTTTTTCACATTTAGGCATTGAGAATGATCACACCTCCGTCCTGCTCTAGCCAATAAAATGTGAGCAGAGGTCAAGATTTATGTCCCTTCCAGGAAAAGCATTTAAAAGCTGATGCCAGTTTTCCATCTTTCCTTCTCTCTGCTGCAGTGATTGGCATGTAGATGGTGGAGCCTCAGCTGGTCAGGGTCCCTAAATGAAGGCACTGTGGAGCCCACCCTGTATGGACTAGGTATGTACAAAAAATACACTATTGTTATGTTTGTGATGGACAGATCAACCTCAAGGAGAGTTTGCAGGAGAAGACACTTCTCAGTGTGGTGGGTATGTCTTGATATACCAAACTTCAGGAAGGCAGAGAATTAGCTATTTACTTCATTTTGGTGTTTTATACTGAAGATTCTGAAAGCTCCTATCAAACCACAATTTATTAATTTATAACAAAAAATATTTGGCTCGGCACGGTGGCTCACACCTGTAATCCCAGCACTTTGGGAGGCCAAGGTGGGTGGATCACCTGAGGTCAGGAGTTCGAAACGAGCCTGGCCAACATGGCAAAACCCCATCTCTACTAAAAATACAAAAATTAGCCAGGTGCGGTGGTGAGCATCTGTAATCCTAGTTGCTCGGGAGGCTGAGGCAGGAGAATGGCTTGAACCCAGGAGGCGGAGGTTGCGGTTAGCCGAGATTGCGCCAATGCACTCCAGCCTGGGCGACAGAGTGAGACTCTGTCTCAAAAAAAAAAAAAAAAAAATCATACAGCACAGATTATATATGTCAGGCATATGTTATTGTTATGTTAAACTGATGAGATTATGAGATTATTACTTAATTCAATTTAACTTGATTAATACATTGTTTTGCCTCTTCCAGAGAGAATTTAAAGTTGCTTAAAGAGAAATACAGCACAATAAAATAAAAAAGTGACTGAGTAAATTAAGAATAACATATAACATTTGCCTTGTAGAGTCGTTGGGAGAAAACATACCTATCCATTAACATCACTGATAATCAGTAGATATCCAGCTCCTTTTTATGTCTGGACCCTTCTATATGCCTAAGTGATGGTCCCTCCCTACCCAGGTACCGGTTTCGTTTTCCACCATGAGCAGGGAGGACTTCCTTGACTTACAATTACAAGCCAGCTTCCTTCACCCCACACTCATTATCACCCTTATTTATTATTTTTTAATTGTACTTATGTTGCAGAACTTTACTCCTTAGTTCAGCTTAAACCAGGTTCTTGTCACACAACCAGGAAAAGTTAGCCATGCAGACACATTGAAGGGTGAGGGGAACGGAATTTATTGGGCAAAAATAAAAAAAAATAAAAATAAAAGTCTCTGAGCAAAGCAAGAAGGGTTCTTGCTAACAGGCCCCTATTTCACAGACTGATTCTAGGCCACACACAGAAGCTGAAGAGACCAAGCTCCTCCCCACTGCAAATGACTCCAACTTCCTGAGGCCCCACCCCGTTCTCCCAGTGCATAGGCCAGTCAGAGACTCTTCAGGGATCCTCCCCCTTATCTTCCTCCTGCATCTATCATTTATCACCAACTGCCATACTTTCTATTTTACTTATTTATTTGTTTGATAAACATTAGCATGGAAGTTGTATGAAAGCAGGGATCTTTGTTCACTGCTATCCCCAGCACCTAGTATATGCATGACATATATAATCAGTGCAGTATAAATATTTTTGGTAAGTTACAAATTAATGAATTGTGACTTTATGGAGCTTCCAGAATGCTTACTATAAAACAACAAAAGGGGTGAAATAGTCAATTGCCTGGCTTCCCGGAGTCAGGGATATCAAGTCATATCCACCTCACTGAGAACTGCCTTCTGGAAACCCTCCTTGAGGTTGCTGTGCCCATCACCACCTTCCCAGCCTCTTTTCCCGTCTTCTTCCTTTTCTGCATGCTGGTTTTGAGAGGTACTAGTCACTAGACAAACTTCAATAACAATAATATTGAGACTAAAACTGAAATGATGATTAACCACTATTGAGCACTTATAATTTATCAATAGTACTCGTTCTAGTTTCACAGCTAAGTACATTCTATTCATGATCTCATTCATTAATTTCAGAAAACTCTGTGGACAAGGAAATTATGATCCTGACTTGAAAGATGAGGAAATTTAAGCTGAAAATGCTGAATAATTTGCAGAGGACCACACAGTTCATAAATGGTAATGTAGGCGTTTTTGTTATCTATTGCTATGTAATGATTCACCAAAAAGAAAGTGGTTTAAATCAATTTACTCTTATTTATCATGGCTCTGTGGATTGAATGGGCTCAGTTGAGTAATTCTCTCTTGGGGTCTCCCATATGTTTGTGAATGGTTGCAGGCAGATGGCTTCTGGCCTGGGCGTCCAAGGTAAGCTTCCCGTATCTGGCATCTCAGATGGGATGGCTCAAACCCTTGAGGACTGGCAGGGCGTCTCACTCTCTTTCTCTGTGTACTCTGTCCAGATTGTTAGCTTGGACTTCCTCACAGCATGGAGGCCTCCGGATGGTCAGACTTCTTATGTGATGTCTGCCTTCTCATGAGCTATCCTTGGAAGTCCCACAACGTCACTTCCCTTGCATTCTGTTAGTTACAAAGAGCAGCTCAGATTCACTGTGGGAGGGCATAAATACCCTGGAAGGAATGACTCATTATCATGGTGGAATTTTTAAACCAGCCATTCTGAACCTAGGCTAGAGGTTGTAAACTGATTGTCTGAATGGAACTGGCAGATCTTTATAAGCAAGGAAGCCTGATGCAAGACAATTGTGCCTGGGACAAACTGTGCTGGACTGAAGAACACAGGTGTTATTAAGGGGCACTTACTGCTCAGCACCAGCTGACTTTGCCTTGCAGGACTACAGGCCCCTTGTTACTGCATCCTCTGAATTTTTAAAGGAAATTCAGCAACCTGGGTTTTATATAAAATATCTTAACATGGAAAACCTGATATTGGTCAAGCAAAACACTTCTGTGTTTAGCTTGTGGGCTGATAGCTAGATCTCCACTGTTCTAGATCTCCAAGGTAACATCTACACACATAAGCACAGCACACAAGGCCCTCATGACCTGTGGGGGTTACCTTGCCTGGCAGTCCAGCCTCATTTCTCACTTTTTTCTTTTCTGAGATGGAATCTCACTCTGTCATCCAGGCTGGAGTGCACTGGCATAATCTTGGCTCACAGCAACCTCAGCCTCCTGGGTTCAAGCCATTCTCCTGCCTCAGCCTCCGAAGTAGCTGGGATTATAGGTGCCTGCCACCATGCCTGGCTAATTTTTGTATTTTTAGTAGAGACAGGGTTTCACCGTGTTGGCCAGGCTGGTTTCGAACTCCTGACCTCGTGATCTGCCCGCCTCGACCTCCCAAATTGCTGGGATTACAGGCGCCAGCCACCGCACCTGGCTGCATTTCTCACTTTTCTCTAACATTTGTGCATTCACCAAGTATTTATTAATTCCTCCTATTTACCAAGTCTGTTCGATGTTCTGGGGATGTAGCAGAGAGTAAAACAAAGTCCCTGCCTTCAGGGGGCTTACATTCTAGTTGGATACAGACAATAAACAAATGTGTAAAATATCAGATGGCACTAAGCACCATAGGGAAAAATAAAGCCAGGTGAACCCTAGCTGGCAGGTTGCACAATGTACCCTGCTCTCTTGTTCTGCTCTTCTGTCTACCTTGAATGGCTCTTTTTCCTTTCAGCTTAACTGCCTTCTACCTATCATATCACTTGGGGATCTAGCTTGAGGGTCAAACCTCTGACCCCTCTCATCCTGCAAGTGTGAAATTGGTGACACCCCAGTCCTTGCTTCTAAGGTATTTGTGTCTAATCTTACCATATAGTTATAACTGTTTTTTTAAGTTTATAGTTACTTTTCAGTATCCTCCACTAGGTAGTGAGTAAATTGAGGGCTTCTGCATACTCTTAAATTTTCCACAAATCTTTTTTGATTAAAGAAACAGTCTCTTTGGAAAGATCTTCAAGGAAGGAGCTGCTTGGTGGGAGAAGAATTCGCCTGCCCTCTGTTTTTTTTCTTTCCCTTTTCCAATAAGAAATGTTCTTTCCCCTTCTCGCAAAGCACAAAACTATGCATGAGGTTATTTGAAAATCAAGTAAAAGGACATGGTTTATGTCCTTTGGTTTGGGGGCTGGATATTCATGAGTATGAAATGTCTTATATTTTCAGTGAGTCACAGGAACCCAGACTAACTTTACCTGGTTGTGAGACATCAATACACTCATTCTGTTTGCATATTCATACACACACTTAGGCATGAAAAAAGATGAAACACGTCCTTTATAGCTACAGTCTGAGACTTATCTCTATGCATTTCACTAGGCAGATAAACAGGATGCACACTTGTAATCCACAAAAGTCAAACACTAAAATCTGCTTCTGGCACTGCCCTGTATCTGCCTGGTATCTTTGACTTTCTGTGTGCTGTGGTTCTGTCTGGCTTCTGCTGCCTAGCTTTCCAATGTGTAAAGCCTCCTTTGTCTAACATTCTGAAATCCCTTGTGGGTGTGCCTGGAGGCCAGCTTGGTTTTCTAGAAGACCCAAAAGTGATTCTCCCTCTGCCCTGCATGTTGCTGCCCTGTGGAACAAGATGACGGCTGAATTTCTGTTGCTTGGTGGAGTACACACATGTTCCACTGCACTCTGGAACGCTTGAGCTCTTGGGCCCAGACCGCAGAGTGCTGTGGGCAGATCAGCCTCTGATCTGTCTCACCTCTGGAAACCCTGACTTTCAAGTTATGTCAGACCCTCTCCAAAGGAAAGTAACCAGGTCAGGAACCTGTTTGAGCAGAGGAGCAGCCTTGGGCAGCAGGTGACTGCCTGGGAAGCTTGTGCCCTGGAAGGTTGGCTGTGGAGAAACGCCCACCCAAGGGCATAGGATGTGTGTGCCTTGCCTTTTAAGGGAGCGCTGCTTGTGGAATAGGATGGTCCGTTTTGGTTGCAGCTCCAGGAGCAGACTAAGCCAGACTGGCGGGAATGCCCGGAGGGGTCTAAGCAAACTTAGTAATGAGAATTCAGGTCACTTACCAGATTGGCCATTTCTCTTCAACTGGTAATTTGCTTCATATGATGCTTTCAGTAAAATGGGCCCAAAGGTTTTGTTGTTGTTATTTGTTTAAACATAAAGCTAAAATAAATGGAGATAATTCTTTAAGCCCCATGTCAAATTCAGCTTTCTACATGAAATATTTCCTCAGCTTCCAACTCTGTTCTCTCCTCCTCCAGTCTAAATATGCCATCTCTTCTTTAACACAATACTGATTTGGAGTCTTAACCTGTTTCTCACACTTTCTCTTGTCACATAGTTACTGTTACACAAGAACTTCTCAGCTTCAATGCTGTTTTCCTGACTATGGACAATCAGGGTTCCTAGACTGGCTCATTCCCCTTTGCCTCCCTGAAGCAGTTAGTGTAGAGCTTTATGTCACAAGAACCCAATGATCAATAGTAGAACCAAAGAGCTCTTAGCCTTGCACCATTCCCTTGCCCACTCCTGGTGACTTGATGACCTGCACTGGTCACATGCTAGGAGGATTTCCAGGCAGATTGCCTAAACATTTCAAACAGATTGGGTCACGTTGGTAGAGCACACAGCATGGCGTGAGCTTGAGAAATGTGTTATGTTTAGACCGCCCTTGAACTTTATAGCTATTTTACAGTCTGAGAGCTATAGACAATCTTTCCACCGATGATAGCCGTGTCACATCCTTGAGGACAAGAAATATTTTCCATTTCATTATATCCCCACAGTGGTACCTGGTGCGTGGTGCTCAGGAAGTGTTGGTGGAATGATTGATTAGGTCGCCTGGCTTTGCGGGGGCTTATCAGTTTATAATTTGCACCGCTGACCTTCCCTCAAACTCCAGGGAGGTAGGAGGGACTGATGGTTAGCAGAAAATTGCCCAGGAGAGACAAGAAATTAATGCTTCTACTCAAAAAGTAGGATCTCTAGTAAGCCATAAAGGCTTAATGCTGTGTCTTTGTGAAAGGACTGAAGTCTGCCCTGTTTGTGCTGGATGAAGGCAGAGAGGAAGGGCAACCACAGGGAAAGAAGGACTTTGAGATCAGGATGTTCATCATAAATGATGGAAGCTTGGGATTTAGCAAGAGAGAAAACGTAGTGGTGATGAACTCTAATTTCAGGCATTTAGGGGTACCTCTAATTGAAAAATTGTATTCTGGGGACCTGGAAAGCATTGTGGGAGTCAGAGGAGGTGAAACTTCAACAAAAATAGTTTCATATTGTCACACTGAAACTCAGTGGAATGTTAGGTGGGTGGGCAACTAGAGGTCAGCCCGGGATGAGCTCTCATCTCCTGGTAAGCTCTGCTCTGCCGCTGAAGCACCCTTCTTAGGGCCAGAATCCCCCTTTGGGTGAAGTTAACCTTTTCCCTTCTCAGGAGCTGGGAGGACTCAGGCAGTTTTCATTGCCCTTTAACTGAAATTCTTAATCTCTTTAAGCATCTACTCAGTGTCCTTGTTGAGGTTACATTTGGTCTCTTTTGGTGGCAAATGACAGAAACCCAACTCAAAAAAAAAAGAAAATTTTGGCACCTACAACTTATAAAATGTGGTAATTATTTCCCAGATTAAGGTCCAGTTGGAATCCTATACTGAGGTGATATCCATAAAAGCCATCTTTGTCCATCTCTCAGCTCTACCGTCTTTAGACATTCTCATGTAGATGATCAGCCAAGCCCAGCAGAACAAAAACAATTCTTTACCGGTAGCTTCAGCAAAGGTCCCAGAGCTGCTCAGAAACAGTCAGATGCACCATTGGACCATCCATAATCTAGTCACTGGGCTAACGAGTCTCATGGGTTTAATGAAGCAAGCTGGATTCTATGCCTGGAGCAGTGGGATCAGCTGCAACGGAACCACATGAACGAGGGTGTAGGGGAGAAGCACAGGTGGATACTCAAAGAAAATTGGACTCAGCAAAAATGTGATGGTTGCAGGGCAAATTTACACTACAATGGCCAAGTGCAGTCACTTCACAAGAATTCTGCTGTGTAAGAGTTTACAAGTGTTCTGCTGGGTGCCACGGCTCATGCATGTAATCCCAGCACTTTGAGAGGCTGAGGAGGGAGGATCATTTGAGATCAGGAGTTTGAGACCAACCTGACTAGCATGGTAAAACCCTGTCTCTACTAAAATTACAAAAAAATTAGCCAGAAATGGTGGCACATGGCTGTAGTCCCAGCTACTCAGGAGATTGAGGCAGGAGAATTGCTTGAACCCAGGAGGTGGAGGTTGCAGTGAGCTGAGATTGTGTACTGCACTCCATCCTGGGCAACAGAGAAAGAGTCCATCTAAAAAAAAAAAAGTTTAAGAGTGTTGACATAAAAACACTCATTTCTCTCCATCTATGTTTTAAGGCTGGCCCCCTGAAATTGGTTCTTTCCCTCCTCAGGACCTTCCTTATGCCTTAGAAAAGCAGGTTGTAAAAAGCTGGATGTTTTCTTGAGGAGGGCAAATATCATTTTATTTTTTCTCAGTTCAGAGAATCAAGAAGTATAGTCTCTGCTTCTCAGCTGAGGACAAATATATAGTTTCTAGGATCAATTATCTAGGGGCGAGATGACATCATAGATTTATCTGGATAGAAGTAAATTTTCACATGATTTGAGTCCTGTCTCTAGGGCATTCAGGGTTTGTGCACCTGTGGTAAATGCCTGGCCCTGACTGATGCTGGGGGAAGCGGGGTTTTGACTCTGGCCCTGCCACTCACAACTGGATGAGCCTGGGTGATTCACTGTTTTCCTGGGCCTCAGTTTTCTCATCTTTTGTATTATGGTTTGGACTGAATACTCTCTCTCTAGTATCATCACTTTTCTAAAGAGCTTGATTTTTAGCTGACAGTCAAATCCTTAATACTCTGAGTTGCCCACCAAGCATGATCTGATTGTCCCCTGAATGCATGAAGCACAGAGAACATGAAGCAAGGAAGGAGCGACATCTGTGCACAGGAAATCTCTAAAGCGAACATATTTAATATTTAATCTTTTCCTGTTTGCTCTGAGGCATTTCATTATTGGAAATGGCAGGCTGTCATCCACGATGCCTGGCACAGTTTGAGAAGGTCATTCTATCTCAGATTTTCAACTGAACGATGAGGAACATGGCCCCCAAACTGTGAGTCCCCTAAGGAATTGTGCTGGGACCATTATGTCCTTGCATCCTCTGTGGGTGCCGTGTGTGTATTAGGTGCTCAAGACAAATATGGGTGGACATGAACAGAAACAAATGCTTTCTTGTTGTTTTGTTTCCGGATGTCTCAGATGTGGTGGGGAAGCACTAGGAGACAGGGCAGATTCTAACTCTTCCACATGCTGGCTGTGTGGTCTTAGGACCTCCTCTCCCCTCCTAATGTCACCATCTTTGAAACAAGAGACAGCGCAGGATGACCTCCATGTTAGTCTAGTGCTGAGATTCTAGAGTCATCTAAGGATTTAGGTGGGTAAGATGGTTGTTACAAACTGAATTTTGTACTCTCCCAAATTCATGCATTGAAACCCTAACCCCTAATGTGACTATATTTGGAGAAAGGACTTATATGAGGTACTTAAGGTTAAGTGAGGTCAAAAGGGTGGAGTCTGAATGTGCTGGGAGTGGTGGCCTTATCAGAAGAGCAAGAATGAGATCACTTTCTGCCATGTGAACTCACAGCAGGGATGCAATCTGCAAGCCAGGAAGAGACCCCACACCAGAGCCTGACCATGCTGGCACCCTGATCTTGAACTTCCAGCTTACAAAACTGTGAGAAAATAACTTTCTGTTCTTTAGGCTACCCAGTCTGTGGTATTTTATTATAGCAGTGTGAGCAGACTTAAGATAACAATACTGCAGCTGGCTGGCAAATAAGGCTCAGGAGAGAGACCTCATCTGTAAAATAACAAACTGGTACAAGAGCTGGGGATCTTTTCACTACTGGCTTTTCCTATTGTCCCTAGGTCTGTGACAGACAACAAGCCACACCTCAGACACAGAGCCCATATGCTTAAAACTTGCTTCTCATGAGCCCCCCAGTGTGGAAGGCTCCCAAGATATCCAGCTGCACACCCCTAACCAATATCTACTAGGCACTCAAAGGAAACAGTGGGTGACAAAAGCAACGACTTTGACATTTAAGTCAGCCTTTGGTGCATCTGCTTTCCCACAAACCCACCATGACACATGTTTTTGCAATAAAGCATTTCAAGCGCAAAAAAAGGCCGCATAAAAGAGCCCACAAGACCCAGGTGTTTCCAGTCTTAATAGATGTTGTTTGAGGTGCGCCTCCCACCTTATCCCACCTCCTCACTGCCCTGCAGTTGGTGGCCCTTTCAGCTTTGCACACTTGGGGGCGCTACTCACGGGAATCACCTGAAGCACTGCTTTTTTGTTTCTGTTTTGAGACAGAGTCTCGCTCTGTCACCCAGGCTGGAGTGCAGTGGTGCGGTCTCAGCTCACTGCAACCTCTGCCTCCCAGGTTCAAGTGATTCTCCTGACTCAGCCTCCCAAGTAGCTGGGATTACAGGCACCCGCCACCATGCTTGGCTAATTTTTTGTATTTTTAGTACATACAGGTTTTACCATGTTGGCCAGGCTGGTCTCCTGACCTCAGGTTATCCACCCACCTCGGCCCCCCAAAGTGCTGGGATTACACGTGTGAGCCACCGTGCCCAACCTGGAGAACTGTTTTTTGTAAGCACTCCCACAATGGGCCCTCTGAGTTAGAATTTTACCTCAAACACCAATAGGCAGCATAATCTCATGCCAGTCATTTAACTTATTTGAGTGTCAGTTTACTCATCTGTATTCAAACAGATATTTATTGAGTACCTCTAATATCAGGCATTAATCTAAGTTTGGAATTCATCATTAGCCATTTCTTTTTGAGAAATTCAGACTATTAGTCATGATATGATTTAGTAACCCCTGTGTGACCTCTATCACTGTTCTCAGTCATGCACATTGTATCATGCTTGCACATGAGGACTGAGAATACAAGATCCATCTGCAGAGTCACTACCTGAATTTTACCATATCAGGGTTTGCCATGAGGGTTCTAACTGCAAGAGAGCCTGATGAGCCTCCTGAGAGAAATAGTGAATGCACTGAACGGTATTTAAACCTTTGCACCAGGAAGGAGGGCAGTAATGCTTCCTGGCTTTTTGGGATGTGTTTTGGGTGGCAAGAAGCTTATCTGGAGGCAAGAAAGAACAAAAGTTTCCATGTATGGGATCCTGTTGGATTATTAACAGGAACAAATACTGTTGGGTGTAAGCCTGTGTAATTTCTGTTAAATATCGCCTCTCTCTCTTTGCAGTATTTAAGGGTCAAAAACTGGTAAGAAATTGAAAAAGTGAATGAATTGTAACTTGACGGTGCTGTAAAACTACTACTTGGGGAGTCTGTTAGAGTTGTTTCAACAATTATTAATTGAGTGTGTATTAGTTGTCAGGCACTCTGCTAGGCTGGGTCTAACACTGCCCATATTCATGGCGTTAGAATACAGTGAGAAAGACAGACATTATAAAAAATATGTGTAAATATGTGTGTATATTTATATATGTGTGTGTGTGTGTGTGTGTGTGTCTAATGGGAAATTGTGATAAGTACTAAAAAAGAAAAAAAACACAGAATATTATGAAAGAGAATACTAACAGGGATTATCTCACCAGATGGAGTGACCAGCGAAGGCCTCCTTGAGGATGTGATATTTAGGATGGAAGGATTCAAGGAGCTGGTTGTAAAAGAATGGGGCAGAAGTGTGGCAAAGAGGATTCCAGGCAGTGGGAGCTTCTCAAGCCAAGGCCCTGAGGTGGAAATCACTTGCCATGTTTGAGGAACTGAAAGGTTGTGCAGACATAACGTGGTGAGAGAGGAGTAAAGTGAGGTAAGTTGGAGAGTTAGAAAGAGTCCAGAAAATGCAAATTCTTGGAAGTCATGGAAAAAAGTTCAGATTTTATTCTAAAGTCAATAGAAAGCGACCGAAGTGTTATTTGAAACAGCAGAGGGATGTGGTTGGGTTTACATGTACATCGGCAGCACCTGAGGCAGTGACATGGCCCACCTCAGTGAGAGGTGGGGAACACACCTCTGCTTCTTCTACAGTCAAGTTAGCAGCAGGCCATTAAGGGCTTCAGAGTGCCATCAGGGCCTGGAGCACATGGCATCACTGAATGACGGTGCAGAGGAATCTTGATTCCCAGCAAGAAATCCTGTTCCAGGACTGGGACCCTTCTGCATCCATTAATTCAATCAACATATATTTGTGAGTTTTTACCAATAATGGTGAACAAATAGACACAGTGTACCACATATAATTTGTTAGTACTCAGTATCATGTCTGTTAGTCTATACTTTTCCCTGTCCCCAGGAGCATGAAGTCTAGAAATTACAATTTCTATCCTCCATTGCAAACAGGATCCCAAATGGATTCCACCAATAAGAAGAAATTGCATGAGATTTGGAAGGTAGAAGGGAAGGGGAAGCCATTGTTCTGCATAGCAGCTACTGGGAGAGTAGAAGCAGTGTGGAATTTTCTCACTGCTTTTGGGTATCCTCCTCAGAATCACCAAGTCAGTGCTCCCAGCAACTGAAACAATTGGTTATAGAACAAGAACTGTACTTTAAAGTTTCCTAAAAGGGGTCTTCCTGAGCTTTACTTGCCCAGCCTTTAATTCCTATATTAAACCATTTCTTACTCTATATACTTAGAGTGGCTTCTTTTTTTCTGACCAGACCCTGACTGATATAAATGGACAAGGGAAGAAAGGGTATACTCCTGAGATCACAGTGTTAGTTTTGTATGGTGTCAGAATTGAATGATCACTTTGACTGCGTTGCAACTGTCATCCACAGCCTCTGGATTCTCCCCCTCAACCTCCTGCAACTTGGAGAAAACAGAGTTATGTGTGATAGCTTATCCCTCAACTCATTCTTTCACAGTAAAAAAGTACAGCAAAGTTCTTTTTCTCTTAGAAACTAATCTTATCAAATTGAAGCATAAAACAAGTTTTGGCCATCTACCTATTAAAATACAATAAGCCATCGTTAATATCTTGCAAAATTTCCTGAACCAATCATATCTTGTGAGGTGGGAGTAGAAAAGGCCATATACAAAAAGGGTAATACAGGTTGAACATTCCTAATCCTAAAATCTCAAATCCAAAATGCTCCCAAATCCAAAAGTTTTGAGATTTAACCTGATACCGCACGTGGAAAATTCCACACGTGACCTCACTTGGATCACAGTAAAAACACAAACAAAATTTTGTTTCATGCACAGAATTATTGAAAATATCATATAATATTATCTCCAGACTGTGTATACGAGATGCATGCAAAACATAGATACATTTTGTGTTAAGAACTGGGTCCCAGCTCCAAGATACCTCACTATATGTGTGCAAATATTCCAAAATCTTAAAAAAGTTCAAAATCCAAAACTCTTCTGGTCCCAAGCATTTTAGATAAGGGTTACTTAACTGCAGAAAGGTCGGACACCTTTTGGAGATGACAGGCGGGGGTGTGAGTGAATCCTGGTTACACATGTCACCAATGTTACTTTTCTTCTCTGAGTCCAATTACTCATCTGTGAAGGTAATATACATACTAATTTTTGTGGGACCATGGTGCATACTGCTAATGATGATGGTGATAAATAATAATTACAGCTAACAGTTGTAGAGCATTTACTATACCCTGGACACTCTACTAAGTGCCTCACATGAATTAAGTCATTTAATTAATCCCCACAATAATGTCAGAGGTAATGGAGACAAGGAATGTAGCAGGGCTGACAAGGTGACATAGTAACATGGGTTAAAAATAACAGTTCCTCCAAATTATTGCAATTACAGTTAATAGTTCAGTAGGACATTTTAGGAACATGGCAGTTTTTTCATATACATATATGAAAACATATGAAATTAAATATGCCCAAATAAGTAGGTTTTAAAAATAGAAAAAAAGTGGGGGATTTTGCCACATCATCTCTCAAGACATTCCACAAGCTGCAATTACAGAAACAATGTGATCCTGGTTTTAGAATAGATAAACAGATCAATGAAACAGAAATAAGAGTTCAGAAAAAGACTCAACTATATGCAGAAACTTGATATGTGATAAATATGCCAATTTAGTGGGGGAAAAGATGGGTTTTGTGGGAAAATTCGTTTCATACATGGGGAAAAATAGACTCCTGTCTCATCTCACAAAGGTGGACCCCAGATGGATTAAAGTCTACATACAAAACCTGTGCAGCTATGGATTAATAACTAGAATATAAAGTACAAGGAGATCCTGCAAATCAGCACAAAAAAGGTAGGAAATCCAGTTTAAAAATGGGTATGGCATGTGAACAGGAAATATATACAAAAAGGAAAACCTGAATGCCAGCAAGCCTATGATCAGATGTTCAACCTCACAAGAGATCAGAAAGAGGAAGATATAGACAATTATTTATAACTTTATAGTCATAATGCTTGGCAAAAATTAAAAGGTGGATAATACCAAGTAGAGCTGAGGACATGGAATAAAATAGTTCTTACATAATTGGTGGTGGTGTTAAGGCATTCAGCCACTCAGATGAGTGTCAAGAAATCACTTAGTGAAATTAAATATGTAGGTGCATGTCTGTGAATGTACTGGGGTCTTTGCTCACCTCTGGGGAAAATCAGAAGATTTGGTTTTCTTACTGACTTGGCAGATACTCTTGGAATTCTCCTCTAAGTTTGTGAAGGTTCATAGTGGCTGCTTTCCTCATGCATCACTCTCTGTGACTGCTGAGTCACGTCTGGAGCTCCGAGTCACGGTCCACTGAGTCCACTTCCCTGCTACAACACTGCATGGAAGAAAGAAATAGGAACTTTGTTCTCTTTATGACCTTGTCCTTTTAACCTCCATGTGACTAGTGTAGTAGCATAGTTAAATCCTTTTTCTAGATGGTTAAGACAATTCTGAACAAAATTACAAAGCTGGAGGACCCACAATTAAAGATAACTTGAATATTCATCTAATGAGAAGATATCTTAAAAAACTGTAATAACTTGTATACAGTGGTTTCTCTTATTTTGTCCTCCAAGTGAATTTGCTCCCAAGTGTCACCCAGGTCCCTTTGAATCTCTATGGCTGGTAAGCCTCTCCCTCCTCCTAAAAGAGATTGTTGGCTCTGAATATTTCTCCTCTGTCTATCCTCCAAGGAACCTTTGGTTCCAGAATTAGAGATTCCGCAGGTAAAATTGGAGAGAGTAGAGCAAGACTGAGCAAAGCTCTTCAGTTTAAATTCCCACCAGCCTTTTATTTGTTTATTAAGTTCATCTCTCAAAGGCAAATGTTATTTTCTTTAGCATTCACAGAACTAAGATCTACCTGTAACAATTATTTCTTCTTATTAATAAGGTTTCGGAAGTATCCCAAAACGTAATGGGTCCCTGTTATTGTACATACGGGTGTTTTATTTTTCCATGATATTGCCCACCTGTGATTGTTTGGTGTTATTACCGAAGATCAATACAAGTGTTTAAAATGCTCTCTTTGACTCTATTTCAGCTCAGATTCTCTCTATACCTGGAGGATAGTGGGAGGGTTGGGGGCAGGCTTGGACCTCTAATTTCTTCTGTTGCAGAGTGAATCAAAAGAAGCAGCAGGGAAGGAGATGTGAAAGTAGAGTGTAATTCTTATTGGAGAGTGCTGGTAGTTTCTGCGGGAGTTTGAGATGGAAAAGTCAGGAGGTATTAGCCTGAAGTGGAGGGGCCTCTCTGTTCAGGGTACAGTCTCAGATACTGGATGCCAAACATTGACTTTGCACTTTCCCTCACAACCTCTCTCCCTCTCTCCACTTCATTTGTCCTTAACGGAAGAAGGTCAACTACATTAAGTCTACAGAGGAATTATTTGGGGAAAGATTCACTAAATTTACAACAAGAACATCTGTTGAGTGCCTACCTTGGTGGTAGGGACTATTCTAAGTGTATAAAAATGCTTTGACTCATTTAATCCTCTTAACTTCCATAAAGCAGGTACTGTTAGGATCATGCTTATTTTTATAGATGAGAAAACTGTGGCACTGAGGAGGGAAAGTGACTTGTCCAGTGCAGACAGCTAATGAGCAGAAGAGCTGGGATTGGACGCCACATAGTTTAACAACTCCAGAACCACCCACCTCCAACCATCATGCAACACTACCTGCCTATCTTCCCCATCCAGGATATGGTGAATTTTTCCCACTTATTTGAATCTTTGCCATTGTCAGTAGAATTTTTATAATTTAAAAAGCATGGTTCTGAACAATTTTTATTAGTTATTTTGCAATTTTCAAATAGTTTTTTTTTGTTGTATGTATGGTAGAATTCTTAAAATTACAGTTTCTGATTATAATGAAGTTTAAACTTAGTTCATAATGATAAATAAAGCCACAAGTGAGCTCAAAGCTCGTTAACTCGTGCACAATCATGCTAGTCTCATCCCTTGCACTGTTTAAGAGTGGCTAGTGGGATGTGAGCAGGAGTACCTGGCAAGGCGGCAGTGGGAGCTGATGCTAAAGAGCCGTGGGTGATGCCAAGGAGCTTGCACTACTCCTGGAATCAAACCTTTCAACAGTGAGATCATCAGGTTTGCTTTTTAAAAAACATCTTTGTCGTAGCATTTTACTGGGTGATTCAGGCTTGGGAAAAATTGGTGGCAGGTCACCTGTTAGGGCATCATTGCAGTATTTCAGGTGAGAGATAATAAAAATCTGACCCTGGGCAATAGCAGTAAGAAAAATGGGAATGGCAAGGATAGGGAAGGGGGGCGGTATACTGAGGGGAGGGTAAGGAACAGGTCTCAGGTAAAAGCAACAATCCTGGGTGACCAGTTAAATGTTGGGGAGAAGAAAAAAGAGGAGATGAAGTTGTCTCCAGAAAGAGTGGCCTCAGGAGAAACGGGTTGTATGGAGATAGGGTTGGGGTGGGGTGGGCAGAATCTATCTATCGGGGAAATAGGACCTTTGGTGTTGGTTTGGTACAGGTGAGTAGGCCTGAATGATAGTCACAGAAATCCCAAAGCATAATATAAAAATGAATGAAATTTGAAAAGTAATAAACATGAAAAAAATGAAAAATCGGGATTTATGGGGGATTTGTATGGCTTATATTGGAGAATAATTAGGACTGAAGCTAACTACTTGGAAGTTATTGGTGTATAAATGGTATTGGAGGCCAGAGAAGAAAGGGTGAGGTGAGCCCAAGGAGAGAGGCCAGCTTTAAACAAAACAAAACAAAAAGACAAAGAAATAGGACGCAGAGTTAAATTTGAATGTCAGATTATACAATAAATACTTGTTTAGTATATTCCATGTGTGGACACGTTTAAGACATACTTGTCCTAAAAATTATGTATTATTTATCTGAAATTCAAATTTAATTGGTCACCATGTATTTAATCTGGCAACCATAACAGCAGCTGCACACAGAAATGTCAGCAGAGACCAGGCAGGCCTTTCAGATGGCGAGGTGATGTGTGAGACACAGGGGTGTGGTGGAGGCTGGGTGACCCAGAACACCTGTCCTTCATTCTCAAGGGTAGCTGCTACCCAGTTCCCGCTGGTTGGGTTTGCAGACATGGCCTTGAGGGTGTCTGGCATTTTGATGTTTCAAAACAGAATAGAAATATGTATTTTAATGTGCATTTAAATATATATAATTTTTTTAATATCGATATTAAAAGTGGTCAGTTGGGCTGGCTGAGTGCAGTGGCCCATGCCTGTAATCCCAGCACTTCAGGAGACTGAGGGGGGAGGATCTCTAGAAGTCAGGAGGCTGAGAGACCAGCCTGGGCACCATAGCAAGTCCCCATCTCTACAAAAAAATAGAATAAATTAGCCAGGTGTAGTGACCAATGCCTATAACCCCAGATACTTGGGAGGTCAAGGCAAGAAGATTGCTTGAGCCCAGGAGTTTGAGGCTGCAGTGAACTACGATAGCACCACTGCACTCCAGCCTGGGAGGCAGAGTGAGACTCCGTCTCTCTTTAAATAAATAAGTAAATAAATAAAGTGTGCAACCAGTGAAAAGAAAAGCATTGTGAAATACAAAGCAGCTCTGTGGGTTCCACTGGTTTGCAGCCTCTGAGCTGATTTCTAAAGTGGGTGTAGCAGGTTTTTGCTCTGTAAATTATGGTGATTTGCTGGTCAGGGTAGATGATACTTGTGTGTGGGGAAGGTATGATGGCAACAGATGTTTTCCTTTTGCAAAAAGTAAAATGTGGGAGTGACTTCTTTGGCCATGACTTCATGGTCTCTCACCTCAGAGCCATTTGCAGTAAAATTTTTATAGTTTTAAAAATATGATTCTGAACAATTTTTGTTAGAGTTATTTTGGGATTTTAAAATAGTTTTTTAGTTGTATATATTGTAGAATTCTTAAAATTATACAATGATAATTTATAAAAATGCATACAGTTATAATTCATAAAATTATACCTCCACTGGCCATTCTCATGTAGCCGGGAGCAGTTGGCACCAACAGGGCTACATCCCAGTGCTGACCTGCTCTGCAGGACCCAAGGAAGGCGAGCATAGCCTACCAGCCTTTCTGAGTAGCCCAGTGACAGCACCTGGGGCTTCGAAGGCTTTCATCCGAAAATTGTGGGCGGAAACTTCCAGGGGTTTGCTCTGAGCTTCTTGAAACTTCTCAGTTTCAGATGCAAAGTGAGTGGGTGTTTCTCTGAGAAGCAGAATCAGAGAGAGAGATAGAGACAGAGAAAGAGAGAGGTGTTTCCCGTAGCTATGGAAACTCTATAAGAGAGATCCAGCTTCCCTTCTCTTGAGCAGTCAGCAACAGGAGTCCCGTCCTTGACACTTCAGCCTCTACAGGATTAGGAAGAAGTAAGACCATTTGCTGGGGCTGGCTGGAGTCACCGGCTGCCATGCAGCAGCCCTTCAATTACCCATATCCCCAGATCTACTGGGTGGACAGCAGTGCCAGCTCTCCCTGGGCCCCTCCAGGCACAGTGCTTCCCTGTCCAACCTCTGTGCCCAGAAGGCCTGGTCAAAGGAGACCACCGCCACCGCCGCCGCCACCACCACCACTACCACCTCCACCACCGCCACCACTGCCTCCGCTACCACTGCCACCCCTGAAGAAGAGAGGGAACCACAGCACAGGCCTGTGTCTCCTCCTGATGTTTCTCATGGTTCTGGTGGCCTTGGTAGGACTGGGACTGGGGATGTTTCAGCTCTTCCACCTTCAGAAGGAGCTGGCAGAACTCCGAGAGGTAAGCCTGCTGGGGGACTGCCGTGCCCTGGAAGCACCGGGCACAAGGGGTGCAGGGCCCACTGCCTGGCCTGCCAAGTGCTTTTCAGTTCCTTTTTTTTTTTTTTTTAATCTTAGAAATGGGTTGCTCTAGTTATTCTATTCTATAGGCAGAGAAATGGAGGCTCATATGAGTGAGGGGAATATTTTTTGTTTTGTAAAGAATCAGAGGCCAACAGTTTTCCTTATGTGTCGACTAAGTCTGTTGAACCACTTCCTGCCTCGTACCTAGTGTTTTAAGGAGTAACGAACAAACCAAACTTTTAAGTTTTGCTTGGAAGTAAATTTGTTCAGATGACCAAACTGAATCTTGAAAGTACTTAAAATACTGGTACGATTCCAAATCACAAAACTGAGGGACAGTGAAGCAAAATTGCTTGGCCAAAGTCTGAGTTAGCAAAATTTCTGAGGTATTCGGATTCTCTTTCCGGGGCTTGGTTTATTTGACACTTCTGCCTCTTTTGCTTAAAGAATTTTATTTTTATTATACATCTTTTCTCTTTCTCTTTACTAGTCTACCAGCCAGAGGCATACAGCATCATCTGTGGAGAAGCAAATAGGTGAGTCCTTTTCCGTGGGCACATTGAGTTCCCAAAGATGATCCTCAGCACTGAACTATGTTAATGGAATGCCTTATATTCTGTCCTACACTTGGCTTATGTATGCTATGAGAGGAATTCTGGCTGATTCTGAATCTCTGGTCAATATGATTCCTTGAGCTGCTTTAAAAATGTGAAGTGAATGTGAATTCACATTCACTCAGCTCACAATCAGTATAGCTGAGCGCTGCACACAATTCAAAATCACTTTCACTTGACTTTGGAAACAGACACACATACACAACCTGGACCTTTGCCCCCTGAGGGATGGCTCCAGGCCTGTCTCCTACAGACATCTTGATCCCGGCAAACATGCCAGTGGCTTTGACTCCTGGGAAGAGAAGGCGAGGTGAAGGCAGAGATAGATATTTCTCAGAAACACCCTTTCCTCTTTTAAAGTCTCTAAAGAGATTACAGTGAAGCTTTATTTATAAACTATTTTATAGGATGTATGCTTTTAATGAGGATAATCAATTGCCCACAATAGGATGGTTTTTCTTGAAGTCACTGAGAAGCTTAAGGGAAGACTTCAGCCATCATTCAAAGGATGTTTAGCTTCACCCTCAGAGATGGTCATGAGGTACCCTTGATCACAAAGGAAAACCCTTTGTATGGGAGCTAGGACAAGAAGATGACATGCTGAACACTGATTTCATGAAATTTCAGGGCATAGTTTTGCAAGCTCTGTACAGATAGATTTTACGACGCACTTCACTAGTCTTAAGATTCACTGAAATTTTAGATTTAGATTTACAATGAGATTCATTGAATTTTTAGAGTTGGAAGGAAGCTTAGAATATATCTAGTCCAGTCATTCCATCTTTTGGAAGAGAAACAAAATACCAGACAGATTAGGTGAACACGCCCAAGACCACTGGTATGGAACTGGGGCTGGAAGGAACACAGGCTCCTGATGCCTTGTCACCTACAGGGCTTTCCAGCACATGAACTGGTGCCTCATTAAGTAGGGAAACTCCCAACTCTCTGTAGTGACCATGGAATGAGAAATAGATGAAAAGCAGAATACCTCTGCAAAGAGAATGGGTAGATCTCATCCTTAGAAACTCAGAAGCAAGCAGAAGGCAGCACTGGCCATCTAGTAAGTGGAGCAAGTTTCAGTTACTCTGGGTGTGGCTACTGCAGGCGACCCAGTCGCCGGTCTACTATCCCTGATTGTTAAGTTCTTATAGGAGCCACTGTTGGATGCTCTGGCTCCTGTGTCTGTGTCCTAATCCTTAAATGTTAGAACTTCCATATGTACACAAGCAGAGTGGAAATATTTGTTAGAAAAATGAAGCCTCTGGAGGATGTCTTAAATAAGATCATTTTGAAAATCTGTGGAATGTGCCTGGTCCGATAGGTAGCTAATTATTCATCTTTCACCCACTCTCTGGAGTCAGTTTAGGGATTAAAAGTCAAATTATCAGATGAGTCAGGTCCATCTACCCCGTAAGTAATTATCTTCTCTAGAATGACCAGAAATTGGTAAATTATCACATGGAAATCACATGAGTAATTTTACTAATAAGAAAAGAGATGCAAATTAAAATAATGCAGATTAAAAATAGGAAATATCAAGTTTTCATCAAATTGGTAAAGATTGAAAAAAAAAAAACAGATTGACAAAGATTTGAGAGAAAAGAGCCTGTTCAAACATTTGTTTCAGCCAGTGTACATGTAAATTGCTATAGCTTTCTCTGAAGAGCGCTTTGGAAATACAATCAAAAGCTTGGAACTAATAGTTTACGTTGTAATCCCATAGCTAAGAATTTATCTTAAGAAAATAATCAGAGATGTGCCTGTGCCTGAAGATTTACATATAAGGATGTTCATTACTTCCTTATGAGCCTATTTATAATAAACAATTCAGAAGAAACTTGAATGCCTCATACTAGGTTAGTCATATATATTATGATGTATTCAGATGAGAGCTTAATAAACAGCAACTAAAAATGATATATCAGAAGGACATTTAATGCCTTGGAGATTGTGCACTCTATTGTTAGATAAAAAGGCAAGTTACAAAAGGGTATGTTTAGTTTCATACTGACTATGTAAGCATGTATGCACATTTTATATTCTTAGAAAGGAACTAGAAAGTTTTATATACTGGTGTACTCACAGCGATTTTCTCTGAGAGATACTATTATAGATTATTTACTCTTTAATTTCCTCCTTTTTACATTTTCCATTTTTTTTTTTCAGTAAACTAATTAAATATCTTATTCATTCACATCTGTGAGGCTAGATGTTGGATGCTGGATGCTGATTGAGGATGAGTGAGCCCAGGGGGCCTGTCCTTAGGGAGCTTTTAGCGTGGTGAAGAAGCAAAAAAAAGCAAGCAAACAGACCATGCAATTTCAAAGTTGTACTCAGTGCAACCTAAGATGGAATGGTCTGGAGAACCCTCTCTAAGGAGGTGGTGTTTATGCTGACACCCGTGGGGGTGAGAAGCCGCAGAGGGAAGGGCTGTGTGCATGTGCTGTGGAGTGTGGTGGGGCTGGGAGAGAGCATTTCAGTGCTGGGAATGGCACATGCAAAAACCCTGGGGCAGGAAGCACTCATCACCAGTGTCTAGGATATATCTGCAGTTTATTTATTCCAGTATTTGTATAGCAGATATTCTTAGTGAGCATCTTCTGTGAGAATAACATTGTACTAGGCTCTGTGAGGGATATAAAGACATGTGGTTCTCTCTTCCGTTTCCTGCCGGTGCATGGCTGAATGCCAGATCAGTCGCTCGGATGGTTTGCGGTGTAGGAATGCAGAGGAGACTCAGTTTTGCCTTTCCTGTTCGCTAACACCTCCTTCGTGGTGGGGTGTCTTGGGTGACTACAGAGGTCCCGATTGCTCAGGCAATGTTCTCTGTGGATTGGGCCATTCTCATACCATGTGTGACTTTTACAGGCTAATCATGAACCTGATATAGACAAGCACTTTGTGTGAATATCAATTGATGTGTCAGTTAGCCGAATTCATTAGCTAAGTGGCAGCTGTCTATGTTGTCTGAAATAGTTGAAGTCAGAGAAATGGTGTCTGTTTTGAGAACTATTGTCTGTCCTTCCATTTAATTTGTCCAGCATTTGTTAGTGACATATCCTGTGTTAGAAACTGGGCTACTCTGGTGAATTCAACATATTGTAAGAAACCTGTCATTATTTGAGGGGAATAAGATAAGTTATGTAGTTATCCCAGAGAAGAGGAGTCAGAAAGAGCGGGGAAAACAGAGTTATCCTAGATTTCAAAAGAGGGGAAGATCATATTTGATCAAAAAAGACCTGAGAGCATTCCCCAAAGAAAGAGATATATTAGATAGTCCTTACGGGATGTTTAGAAATTTGACACAGAAATCTGTTTGAAAGAACATTATGGGCAGAAGACATGGCATGAACAAAGGCACACAGGAAGGGATGTGGGGGTATGTGTAGGCCACAGAACTCCCGTTGTGTGGTAGTGCTCAGTGGGAGTAAGGTGATAAGGCTGGGCAGATTGGCTGGGATTGTGTGATGAGGAGACTTGTATACAACTGCATCTTCGGGAAGGAGCTATTAAAGGTGTTTGAAGCCTCAGTGATATGAGGTGATTGTCTGAGTTCTTAATATAATTAATTTGGGTCAGAGTGTAAAATGTCAGTGGGGGAAGACCTGGTGACATGCAGACAGATCAGTAGTCTTCAGTCTCTGTCCTGTAAATCTTAGGGACGAGAGAATCAGATTGGACAGAGGCCTGGAATTGGAGTCAGGAGTCCAGGGTGTGGTCCCCAGTATTCTGACAGTATCAGAATAGTGTCTAGCTGGGTCTTCTTGGACTAGTTACCCAACTTCTAAGCTTATTTTGCAGTCGATAAGGTGGGATAATACATACCTCGAAGGGTTATGGTGAGTTCTAAATGCAGTAACTGACATGACAGCTCTTTATGAATAAATGTTTATATTAATTATGTTTTATTGTAACATTATAATTTATGCACATGTCAGTCATAATTTTGTTTGTTTTTTACTTCTTCATTTCTGAAATATAGACTACTGTGAGTCCTACAATTCAGACTTACAGGATTAGTATATGTTAGACTGTTGGCATTTATGGTTTTAAAATCTTTTCTTTTAAATGATGGAATTTAGGCTGGGTGTGGTGGCTCACTCCAGCACTTTGGGTGGCTAAGGCAGGCAGATCACCTGAGGTTGGGAGTCGAGACCAGCCTGACCAACATGTAGAAACCCTGTCTCTACCAAAAATACAAAATTATCTGCATGTGGTGGTGCATGCCTGTAATCCCAGCCACTTGGGAGGCTGAGGCAGGAGAATTGCTTGAATCCGGGAGGTGGAGGTTGCGGTGAGCCGAGATCGTGCCATTGTACTTAAGCCTGAGCAACAAGGGTAAAACTCTGTCTCAAAAAAAAACAAAAAAGGATGAAATTTAAATTCCCACCAAAATAATCGCATTTCATTTTAACATGTATTTTTCCTCTCTCTGTCACACAGGCCACCCTAGTCCACCCCCTGAAAGAAAGGAGCAGAGGAAAGTGGCCCATTTAACAGGTCTGTATCTGGAAGGTACAGGTGGGGTTTGGGAAAGCTTTTGGAAACAGGCAGAACGGCTACTTAGTTTCATTACTGGGCTTTAGAGAGTTGTTATTTCCTGGTGACAGTATTTGAACCCAATAATACTAACATCTTTCTTGTCGAGTCAGTCTTACAAACGTACTTTGAGCCCCTATTCTCTGGGCAAGGGCCTCTTCTAAATTGGAGACCTCGAGCTGATTATGACATGACCCCTGTCCATGACCTCATTCTTTTCAGTCATTCCCAAGTCCCTTGGGGATTGGGGCCACAGATCCAAAAGGTGAGAGCTGAGAAGGTGAGGAATGAGGACTTATTTTCATCAGTGCTTTCTTGGTTTTCTGGAAGAGCTTTACTCTGCTTTGTCCAAGAGTATAAACAGGAGTGAGAAGGGAAACTGAGTCCTGGCACTTGTTGACTTTCAGCCTGTGTCTGCAAAGTGGCGTGAAATGATATGGTATGGGCACTCCCATTGTAAGCTTCATAAATAACTGAGATGTGGATAAATATCACAGAAAGTGGCAGGCTATTGTCCCTGGTATGATTTAGGCAGAAATTGTAGAATGATCCAGTCAGATCAGCAGACACTTATTGAGTACCTGCTGTGTGCCAATTTTGGGATGTGAAAATGAGTAGCACATGGCTCTTGCCCCCAGGGAGCTTGACATCTGATAGGGAAAGACAGGCACTTCTGATGATTTTAGTACCGCAGAGATTTAGGTTATGTTCACGATGCTGTGGGGATACAAAGAAAAGGGAACTGTAGCCCAAATTGAGGAGTGAAAAATTCTTACTGCAGGTGAGAAGATGGACCAGATGGTTCCTAAGATCCTTCCCAACTCTAGAGTTCCTTGGATTTAGCTTTTTCCTTCAGGAAAGGACTTCAAAGCCTAGCAGTTTTGGTGTTAGTTCTGAAAATAATAAAATCTTCGTTCCAGAGAGCTAACATTTTCTAATAATTTTTTACTGCAATTGATTGGGGTATACGCTATTGTTCTAATTGTGTGGGTGACAAAACAGGACAACAATGTTTAAGAAATTCTGTGATGGATCAAGTTCTGGCCCCTCAGCCAGTTCTATATAGGCTGTGTCATTCTGGGTAAAACATTTGTTCAAGGAAGGACCCACAGTTTTGCCATAGAAACTTAGTTTGTTGGATGCATGACATTCTTGGCTGAAAGCTCCTTTTGAATTTATTTCAGGCAAGCCCAACTCAAGGTCCATGCCTCTGGAATGGGAAGACACCTATGGAATTGTCCTGCTTTCTGGAGTGAAGTATAAGAAGGGTGGCCTTGTGATCAATGAAACTGGGGTGTATTTTGTATATTCCAAAGTATACTTTCGGGGTCAGTCTTGCAACAACCTACCCCTGAGCCACAAGGTCTACATGAGGAACTCTAAGTATCCCCAGGATCTGGTGATGATGGAGGGGAAGATGATGAGCTACTGCACTGCTGGGCAGATGTGGGCCCGCAGCAGCTACCTGGGGGCAGTGTTCAATCTTACCAGTGCTGATCGTTTATATGTAAATGTATCTGAGGTATCTCTGGTCAATTTTGAGGAATCTCAGACATTTTTTGGCTTATATAAGCTCTAAGAAAAGCACTTTGGGATTCTTTCCATTATGATTCTTTGTTACACGCACTGAGACTGTTGTATTCAATGAGGGCCTTCTTATGCTCATTTGAGGTCAAGTAAGAAGACATGAACTAAGTGGACCTTGAGACCACAAGGTTCAAAAGGTCTGTAGCTCCTCACTCACCTAACGTTTATGAGCCAGACAAATGGAGGTATATGACTGAAGAATATCTGGGCTGCCATGTGAAGAGGCAGAAGCGTGGAAAAGCAGCTGCCAGGTGTTCTACATTCATCTTCAGTGCCTGAAAGTATTTGGGCACATTGAAAAGGACACCTTTTAACTCACCTCTCAGGGGTGGGCCTTGCTACCTCAAGGGTGACTGTCTCTCTGATACATGGTTGTGACATGAGTGTTTGAGGGATGGGAAAGGAGGACTAGAGGCTTGCATAATAAGCTAAAGAGGCTGATGCTCCACTAGCAGCATCTTCACTTCTAAACACACAGCCTGAGCCATCGCTGATAGTAACAGAGAAGCAAGAGAGATATTATGGGGACCCATTCATTCCTAACACAGCATGTGTATTTCCAGTGCAATCGTAGGGGTGTGTGTGTGTGTGTGTGTGTGTGTGTGTGTGNAAACTCCCAACTCTCTGTAGTGACCATGGAATGAGAAATAGATGAAAAGCAGAATACCTCTGCAAAGAGAATGGGTAGATCTCATCCTTAGAAACGCAGAAGGCAGCACTGGCCATCTAGTAAGTGGAGCAAGTTTCAGTTACTCTGGGTGTGGCTACTGCAGGCGACCCAGTCGCCGGTCTACTATCCCTGATTGTTAAGTTCTTATAGGAGCCACTGTTGGATGCTCTGGCTCCTGTGTCTGTGTCCTAATCCTTAAATGTTAGAACTTCCATATGTACACAAGCAGAGTGGAAATATTTGTTAGAAAAATGAAGCCTCTGGAGGATGTCTTAAATAAGATCATTTTGAAAATCTGTGGAATGTGCCTGGTCCGATAGGTAGCTAATTATTCATCTTTCACCCACTCTCTGGAGTCAGTTTAGGGATTAAAAGTCAAATTATCAGATGAGTCAGGTCCATCTACCCCGTAAGTAATTATCTTCTCTAGAATGACCAGAAATTGGTAAATTATCACATGGAAATCACATGAGTAATTTTACTAATAAGAAAAGAGATGCAAATTAAAATAATGCAGATTAAAAATAGGAAATATCAAGTTTTCATCAAATTGGTAAAGATTGAAAAAAAAAAAAACAGATTGACAAAGATTTGAGAGAAAAGAGCCTGTTCAAACATTTGTTTCAGCCAGTGTACATGTAAATTGCTATAGCTTTCTCTGAAGAGCGCTTTGGAAATACAATCAAAAGCTTGGAACTAATAGTTTACGTTGTAATCCCATAGCTAAGAATTTATCTTAAGAAAATAATCAGAGATGTGCCTGTGCCTGAAGATTTACATATAAGGATGTTCATTACTTCCTTATGAGCCTATTTATAATAAACAATTCAGAAGAAACTTGAATGCCTCATACTAGGTTAGTCATATATATTATGATGTATTCAGATGAGAGCTTAATAAACAGCAACTAAAAATGATATATCAGAAGGACATTTAATGCCTTGGAGATTGTGCACTCTATTGTTAGATAAAAAGGCAAGTTACAAAAGGGTATGTTTAGTTTCATACTGACTGTAAGCATGTATGCACATTTTATATTCTTAGAAAGGAACTAGAAAGTTTTATATACTGGTGTACTCACAGCGATTTTCTCTGAGAGATACTATTATAGATTATTTACTCTTTAATTTCCTCCTTTTTACATTTTCCATTTTTTTTTTTCAGTAAACTAATTAAATATCTTATTCATTCACATCTGTGAGGCTAGATGTTGGATGCTGGATGCTGATTGAGGATGAGTGAGCCCAGGGGGCCTGTCCTTAGGGAGCTTTTAGCGTGGTGAAGAAGCAAAAAAAAGCAAGCAAACAGACCATGCAATTTCAAAGTTGTACTCAGTGCAACCTAAGATGGAATGGTCTGGAGAACCCTCTCTAAGGAGGTGGTGTTTATGCTGACACCCGTGGGGGTGAGAAGCCGCAGAGGGAAGGGCTGTGTGCATGTGCTGTGGAGTGTGGTGGGGCTGGGAGAGAGCATTTCAGTGCTGGGAATGGCACATGCAAAAACCCTGGGGCAGGAAGCACTCATCACCAGTGTCTAGGATATATCTGCAGTTTATTTATTCCAGTATTTGTATAGCAGATATTCTTAGTGAGCATCTTCTGTGAGAATAACATTGTACTAGGCTCTGTGAGGGATATAAAGACATGTGGTTCTCTCTTCCGTTTCCTGCCGGTGCATGGCTGAATGCCAGATCAGTCGCTCGGATGGTTTGCGGTGTAGGAATGCAGAGGAGACTCAGTTTTGCCTTTCCTGTTCGCTAACACCTCCTTCGTGGTGGGGTGTCTTGGGTGACTACAGAGGTCCCGATTGCTCAGGCAATGTTCTCTGTGGATTGGGCCATTCTCATACCATGTGTGACTTTTACAGGCTAATCATGAACCTGATATAGACAAGCACTTTGTGTGAATATCAATTGATGTGTCAGTTAGCCGAATTCATTAGCTAAGTGGCAGCTGTCTATGTTGTCTGAAATAGTTGAAGTCAGAGAAATGGTGTCTGTTTTGAGAACTATTGTCTGTCCTTCCATTTAATTTGTCCAGCATTTGTTAGTGACATATCCTGTGTTAGAAACTGGGCTACTCTGGTGAATTCAACATATTGTAAGAAACCTGTCATTATTTGAGGGGAATAAGATAAGTTATGTAGTTATCCCAGAGAAGAGGAGTCAGAAAGAGCGGGGAAAACAGAGTTATCCTAGATTTCAAAAGAGGGGAAGATCATATTTGATCAAAAAAGACCTGAGAGCATTCCCCAAAGAAAGAGATATATTAGATAGTCCTTACGGGATGTTTAGAAATTTGACACAGAAATCTGTTTGAAAGAACATTATGGGCAGAAGACATGGCATGAACAAAGGCACACAGGAAGGGATGTGGGGGTATGTGTAGGCCACAGAACTCCCGTTGTGTGGTAGTGCTCAGTGGGAGTAAGGTGATAAGGCTGGGCAGATTGGCTGGGATTGTGTGATGAGGAGACTTGTATACAACTGCATCTTCGGGAAGGAGCTATTAAAGGTGTTTGAAGCCTCAGTGATATGAGGTGATTGTCTGAGTTCTTAATATAATTAATTTGGGTCAGAGTGTAAAATGTCAGTGGGGGAAGACCTGGTGACATGCAGACAGATCAGTAGTCTTCAGTCTCTGTCCTGTAAATCTTAGGGACGAGAGAATCAGATTGGACAGAGGCCTGGAATTGGAGTCAGGAGTCCAGGGTGTGGTCCCCAGTATTCTGACAGTATCAGAATAGTGTCTAGCTGGGTCTTCTTGGACTAGTTACCCAACTTCTAAGCTTATTTTGCAGTCGATAAGGTGGGATAATACATACCTCGAAGGGTTATGGTGAGTTCTAAATGCAGTAACTGACATGACAGCTCTTTATGAATAAATGTTTATATTAATTATGTTTTATTGTAACATTATAATTTATGCACATGTCAGTCATAATTTTGTTTGTTTTTTACTTCTTCATTTCTGAAATATAGACTACTGTGAGTCCTACAATTCAGACTTACAGGATTAGTATATGTTAGACTGTTGGCATTTATGGTTTTAAAATCTTTTCTTTTAAATGATGGAATTTAGGCTGGGTGTGGTGGCTCACTCCAGCACTTTGGGTGGCTAAGGCAGGCAGATCACCTGAGGTTGGGAGTCGAGACCAGCCTGACCAACATGTAGAAACCCTGTCTCTACCAAAAATACAAAATTATCTGCATGTGGTGGTGCATGCCTGTAATCCCAGCCACTTGGGAGGCTGAGGCAGGAGAATTGCTTGAATCCGGGAGGTGGAGGTTGCGGTGAGCCGAGATCGTGCCATTGTACTTAAGCCTGAGCAACAAGGGTAAAACTCTGTCTCAAAAAAAAACAAAAAAGGATGAAATTTAAATTCCCACCAAAATAATCGCATTTCATTTTAACATGTATTTTTCCTCTCTCTGTCACACAGGCCACCCTAGTCCACCCCCTGAAAGAAAGGAGCAGAGGAAAGTGGCCCATTTAACAGGTCTGTATCTGGAAGGTACAGGTGGGGTTTGGGAAAGCTTTTGGAAACAGGCAGAACGGCTACTTAGTTTCATTACTGGGCTTTAGAGAGTTGTTATTTCCTGGTGACAGTATTTGAACCCAATAATACTAACATCTTTCTTGTCGAGTCAGTCTTACAAACGTACTTTGAGCCCCTATTCTCTGGGCAAGGGCCTCTTCTAAATTGGAGACCTCGAGCTGATTATGACATGACCCCTGTCCATGACCTCATTCTTTTCAGTCATTCCCAAGTCCCTTGGGGATTGGGGCCACAGATCCAAAAGGTGAGAGCTGAGAAGGTGAGGAATGAGGACTTATTTTCATCAGTGCTTTCTTGGTTTTCTGGAAGAGCTTTACTCTGCTTTGTCCAAGAGTATAAACAGGAGTGAGAAGGGAAACTGAGTCCTGGCACTTGTTGACTTTCAGCCTGTGTCTGCAAAGTGGCGTGAAATGATATGGTATGGGCACTCCCATTGTAAGCTTCATAAATAACTGAGATGTGGATAAATATCACAGAAAGTGGCAGGCTATTGTCCCTGGTATGATTTAGGCAGAAATTGTAGAATGATCCAGTCAGATCAGCAGACACTTATTGAGTACCTGCTGTGTGCCAATTTTGGGATGTGAAAATGAGTAGCACATGGCTCTTGCCCCCAGGGAGCTTGACATCTGATAGGGAAAGACAGGCACTTCTGATGATTTTAGTACCGCAGAGATTTAGGTTATGTTCACGATGCTGTGGGGATACAAAGAAAAGGGAACTGTAGCCCAAATTGAGGAGTGAAAAATTCTTACTGCAGGTGAGAAGATGGACCAGATGGTTCCTAAGATCCTTCCCAACTCTAGAGTTCCTTGGATTTAGCTTTTTCCTTCAGGAAAGGACTTCAAAGCCTAGCAGTTTTGGTGTTAGTTCTGAAAATAATAAAATCTTCGTTCCAGAGAGCTAACATTTTCTAATAATTTTTTACTGCAATTGATTGGGGTATACGCTATTGTTCTAATTGTGTGGGTGACAAAACAGGACAACAATGTTTAAGAAATTCTGTGATGGATCAAGTTCTGGCCCCTCAGCCAGTTCTATATAGGCTGTGTCATTCTGGGTAAAACATTTGTTCAAGGAAGGACCCACAGTTTTGCCATAGAAACTTAGTTTGTTGGATGCATGACATTCTTGGCTGAAAGCTCCTTTTGAATTTATTTCAGGCAAGCCCAACTCAAGGTCCATGCCTCTGGAATGGGAAGACACCTATGGAATTGTCCTGCTTTCTGGAGTGAAGTATAAGAAGGGTGGCCTTGTGATCAATGAAACTGGGGTGTATTTTGTATATTCCAAAGTATACTTTCGGGGTCAGTCTTGCAACAACCTACCCCTGAGCCACAAGGTCTACATGAGGAACTCTAAGTATCCCCAGGATCTGGTGATGATGGAGGGGAAGATGATGAGCTACTGCACTGCTGGGCAGATGTGGGCCCGCAGCAGCTACCTGGGGGCAGTGTTCAATCTTACCAGTGCTGATCGTTTATATGTAAATGTATCTGAGGTATCTCTGGTCAATTTTGAGGAATCTCAGACATTTTTTGGCTTATATAAGCTCTAAGAAAAGCACTTTGGGATTCTTTCCATTATGATTCTTTGTTACACGCACTGAGACTGTTGTATTCAATGAGGGCCTTCTTATGCTCATTTGAGGTCAAGTAAGAAGACATGAACTAAGTGGACCTTGAGACCACAAGGTTCAAAAGGTCTGTAGCTCCTCACTCACCTAACGTTTATGAGCCAGACAAATGGAGGTATATGACTGAAGAATATCTGGGCTGCCATGTGAAGAGGCAGAAGCGTGGAAAAGCAGCTGCCAGGTGTTCTACATTCATCTTCAGTGCCTGAAAGTATTTGGGCACATTGAAAAGGACACCTTTTAACTCACCTCTCAGGGGTGGGCCTTGCTACCTCAAGGGTGACTGTCTCTCTGATACATGGTTGTGACATGAGTGTTTGAGGGATGGGAAAGGAGGACTAGAGGCTTGCATAATAAGCTAAAGAGGCTGATGCTCCACTAGCAGCATCTTCACTTCTAAACACACAGCCTGAGCCATCGCTGATAGTAACAGAGAAGCAAGAGAGATATTATGGGGACCCATTCATTCCTAACACAGCATGTGTATTTCCAGTGCAATCGTAGGGGTGTGTGTGTGTGTGTGTGTGTGTGTGTGTGTGTGTGTGTGTGAGTGACTAAAGAGAGAATGTAGAGATTATGAAATACATATTAGGAAAATATGGGTTGCATTTGGTGATAGAGTTTGAATGCTTCTTGACAATAAACTCTAATAGTTCTTAAAAATTATTGATTTTCAGCTACTGATGAAGTTTTCCTATAATATAATAAATATTTATATAGATGTACATTTTTGGGAAAAGAAAACATGTAATATAAAGTATATGTTAGGATACAGATAATTTTTAGCAAATATTTTACTGAAATTTGAATTTTTTGCTTATTATTTCTTTCTTCTATGGTTTCTTTTTTTTTTTTTTTTTTTTTTTTTTTTTTTTTTTTTTTTTTTTTTTTTTATTCATTACGATGCCAGACCACTTTAAGAAGAATTTGCTGGGGTGAGAAGAACTATGAGGCAATCTTTCCACCTTTGCCCAGTCTTCTTTCTCTCTATATGTTTTCTTCCCTCTTCACCTCCCAGAGATTCCATTACCAATATTATGACCAGTGTTAAGCTTACCCAATTTTCCATAGATTTGATGAGAAATTATCTTTTCCTGAAGGCACAACCATGGCACAGTGAAAAGGGCACATATTTTGGATTAAAAAACTTAGATTTGAATCTTTGTTTTTCTGTCTACTACCTATGTAATCACTGGTCAGGTCTCTTGATCTTCCTTGAACAAAAAAAGAGCGGATGTGTACATAAAATACAGACACATAGAACATAAAAAAATGGTGTCTACCATTACTAATCAGCCACTCTGTTAGAGCTACTTTGTTCTCCAGAGGCTACGGATCTGTGGGATCCATCTAAGCCCATGGTTTCTTGTATTCTCATACTTGTTGCTCACAATGCCCTTTTCCTGGTTTCTTCAACTACTCATTGTCATGGGTGCTCCCTAGACTTTGTTATCATTAAAAAGTATAGTAATTCCTTTGGCATTTGATTTCAGATGTCTTATTTTCACAACATCATCTCCTATTATTCTAGTGGAATTGGTCTAACATTTTCTTTACGAAAACATTTTTGAAAATATTAAGACTTCTCTAATAAATGAACTTTATTATTTTCATATATATATATGTGTGTGTATATATATATGTATATATATATATATATATATATATCAGCTCCTTCCATATCTTCTTTTCTCTCTATGTCCAGCATATTTCATCATCTGTCATGACATCCAGTACCTTGGAAAGACTCTGAACTCTAAAATACTCTCTTCCTCCACTGTATTCCCTTTCCAGAAATTCTATTTTCTTTAAGCTGTCATCCTAGCAGCTGGGTGTTGCTGGACAAAAATTACCCAAACAGGCTGCCTAGTGTTATTTTATTTTTATCTAACACGAATTTAAATCAATCAATTATTGATCTGTCACTGATTTAGTTTTATTTTTTGATTGATTTGAATAAGTAGTAGATGTACATGGTACAAGGGCAGAGACAAGGAAAACTGCTGGGTGACCAGAGTTAAAACTATCATTTAGAATATATTCAAATACTTGTTGAATACGTTAACGAACAAAACCAAGGCTTCAGGTTGAAAATTGTCATCTGCTCTCCCTAAAACTCTTGTATTCATTCATCTGCTCTGGAGGGTCAGCTTCCTTAACAGGTGCCTCCTGGAGAAATTCCAGTAGGTACATTTACCCTTCCTATGGCTGACTGCTGGACTGTATTCCCAGCCCTGAGGGTGAAATCCTCCTCATCCACTCTCTCCCCTTTTGGCTTCAACTATCAAGTATGCCAGTTCCAAAGGGTCATAGGAAGTTGGCTAGACCATGATTCTTTTGCAAATGGACCCTTCTAGATAATGGTACAAGAGCACAGTGTAAGTGGGGAAGGGCCTGAGCATCCCGAGCTGAACTGATGCTGTCAGCTGGTAATGATACTGCTGACACTTTCATCTCCCTAAGTCTGAGCTGCACTAGGATGCCTTTGGGACTTTCTGAAGGTAGAATTGTAGCTCACTATGCTTTACTGATTCCAGAGAAGAGGTACTGACAGTCCCTTTAGGAACCTTAATTTTTTTTTTAACCTCAGTTGGAACATAAGGAATGTAAAAAATTCAAAGCTTTTTAATATGTTTATTGAAAATTGGATTGGCATTGTTCCTTTATGAAATGCTAAACCCAAAGTAGAACACACCACAAACACATACATACGTAAAGGGTGCTTCTAGTTCAGTAGTTTGAGGTTTTCTTTTTTTTTTTTCTTTTCAAGCAACCAAAAGCACATGAAACCCACTTCTTTTCTCAGTCCCCCAGTGTGGTGACTTTGTCTTCTCTGAAGTAGGTTTTGACTTACCACAGTTAACAGGAAAAGAGCTCTATTGTGGGGGCATCATTGTGTGACTTAAGTGAAACAGTCACTCATAGAAAGAGGAGAATTGGAGAGAGAAGCTGCCCGCCACCCCCACTCCTCAAAGTCACTGTATAAACTTTCCTTAGTGGGTTAAGCCCTGGACTTGCCCTGGTCCTTATCTAAGGAAGTATGGAGGCCACGTGTTGAATTACATTTTTCTAAGGGGTCTGGTAAGTTCTGGTGTTTGTAGAGATACATTTTTACATTCTGATTTCTTTTTCTTTTCCAAGGTTTTTGATCATCCAAAGACAGAATGTGGGGATTCTAGAAAAGGGAAATTAGAACCCCATTCCTTAAGGGAGAGGGTTCAGAAATAAATCCTATTTGGAAATAGTAAGTCATTGATGGTACAGGGACCTTTGGGATTCACTTGGAAACTAATCTGCCTTGGCAATGTAGATAGTTAAGTCGGTACTCTGTCCTTACAGGTTCACCCAGAAGACAGGAACGAATCATGCCAGTGATGACTTTCTCACTTTTATCAAAGCTTCCCCTTTACTGGGAAACATTTTTCTAGAGTTCTGGCTGGTACATCATCAGAAAAAGGGCAATGCAGATATTCCTCTTCCCCTTCTTGGACATTCCTTCGGCCCTGTGGGATCACCCCTTTCTTCTAATTCTCCATGGAATGACATACGCCTCCATTTCACTTTCTGTGGGAAGTTTATTCTTCAAGTTTTCTGTGAATTTCAGGGAAGACCCTCATTCCCTTGGGCAGTCCACGTTATCGCAAATTGCCTGGCTTTCGCTGGTTTCTGCAGTGGACTGCTGTCTACATTCCTGACGTGCCCACTGTGGAGTGCCTTTGTTGCCAACCAGGCATCACTACCACAAGTTGCTGTGTATAAAATTAACTGAAGGTTTGAGGCAATGGAGACACATTACCTTATGACAACACAGAATAAGCCACACCTAAAAATGAGTATTAGACATCACCACCATTCCTCAGATTTGCCACAATTGTCTCCTTAAACTTACCATTAAAAATTCTAGTATTTGAAATAGTATAAGGACTTTCATTCATTCATTTATTCACTCAACAAGTGTTTATTGAATGTCTGCCATGTACCAGAAACTTCCTTAGGTATTATGGATACAATGATATAAACAAAATCCCTTATGGAGTTGTATTTTAATGGAGAAATGGTAAACAATAAAAATAAGCAAATGAATAAGTCATGTGGCAGGAAGTGCTATGAAGAAAAACTAAATAAGGTAATCCAGTAGGGAGTGATGCAGGCGGAATGTTTGTATGATAAGTTATGAAAGAACAAGCCACATGGACATCTAGGGAAGAGCACACCAAGCAGAGAAACTGCAAGTGCAAAATCTTAAGACCAAAAGTGTTTTGTGTATTGGAGTGAGCTGGCAGGAAGCAACACTGAAGAGGTATTCAGGGACCACATGGTGCAGGGTCCTGGAAACTTTGGAAAGCAGTGTGGATTTTCTTCTAAGTGTGATGGAAAGTCACTAGAGGACCAAGAGCAGACAGTGATATGACCTAATTTACAGCGTAAAAGGACTATTCTGGTTGCTTATGAAGAATAGACTGTGGTGGGTCAAGACTGAATTGGGAGACTGGTAAAAAGGCTATTTCAGCAACCTAGATGAGAGGTCAGGGTGGCTTGAATTAGGGTGTTGATTATAATAAAGTGGTTAAGAAGTACTTTTGATACTAGAGGTAACAAGATTTGCTAATGGACTGGATGTGGGAGCGAATGAAATGAAAATTCTCTCATTTTTGGTCCAATCAGCATATGTATGTAAACATGTGTATGTGTATCAACATACGTGCATGTGTAAATGTGTGGTCTGGGTAGATATTGGTGACACCTTATTGTTTTGGGGTTTCGCTGCTGTCATGTTGGAGGCACAGTCTGTGATACAGGCAGAGAACTCAGTTTCCTGCTACACATTCCTGGGTTTGTACCAAGAGCTAGCTCATCTCCTGAGAGTCAAGTGTACAGAGAAACCAGCCTGTAGGTTCTTCACGAGGTCTGCTTATGGAAATAACTTCTTTATAACAGCCTTGACAAGGAAGGAACACAGTGTGATTTAAGATTGCCATATATAAACCCAAAGCTGCCACTCCAGTTGCCAAATATCACTCATCACAGATCTTGGATTCAGAAGTAATCATTAGAAATAATATCAGGCGCCTTCCCTTCTAAGATGGAAGTCCTCTTTGCCACATTTCCAACAGATGGCCATACAGCCTCTGCTTGAAAACTTTCTGGAGAAGGAGCTCAGTGAAATGCAAGGGAGCCCATTCTGCACTGGATTATATTATTACACTGTAGGAATTTCTTTCTTAGAGTTAATTGAAATCCTCTGCATTATATCTTCCAAACACTGGCCATAGTTTTTTTGCTGCCTCTTACCTCTATAGCATTTAATAACTTACAGATCTCTCTCCTGTACCTTATCTTTTTCAAATTTCACTACAGTCCTGTAAGGTAAATTGTTATCCTCATTTTATACATGAAAACAACTGGAAGGTGACGTAGCTAATAAATGGTGGTGCTGTGACTTTATCCTAGTTGTCTAGCTCTAAGATTTATCTTTAGAGTTTCCATATGCAAAGAGATTTCTTAAAATTATACATTATATGCCGGCGCTCACCATAAGCCTCATTCCATTAATTTTCAGTGACACCTCTTATTTTTCATTCTTCTCTTTGCTTTTCAATTTCAGTCTCACTTTGCCTAATACCTATAACTCTGTACTATATAATATAAATATGTCATAATATATTGATAAATATGTATTTGAGATCATGACCCAATAGATAGTGGTCTTTTTCGGTCTCTTCTTTAGTTTCTTCCTGACAGTTACTAGTTTCTCTCTCTGTCTCTCTCTCTCTCTCTGTCTCTCTCTCTCTCTCTCTCTCTCTCTCTCCTGTGATCTAACTGAATTGCTTCTATTGCCTCAGTGCCACCAGTAGCATCTAGTTTTAATAAGAGAAGAAGGAAATAAATTGAGCTTGGGATCAGAGGGCCTGGGACTGAGTTCAGCCCCTGCTACTCAACTAGCAATGTGTGTGATCTTAAGTAAGTCACATGAACATCTTGAGATTCACCCTGTCCCCTCTGTAAAATGAGGAAGCCGATTTATATTCTCATGGCTTTATAGGAATGTTGTTACTGGCAAATGCAATGAAGCCAGTTTGTGCTTGGGAAATGCATTCCTGAAGGTAAGTCAGTGGAATTGTTATATTCCTCAGCAACTTTCCTGATAGAGTCATTGTTAAAAAAAATTCTGACTTTTCAATATTCCCACAAAATTGACCATCTATAATCATGCCACACATAAAATGTCATCAACCATTAAAAAAAAAAATGGAACAATGGGCAGGTAAATATCCTCTGGGTATAAAACTAAAGAATACTATCTTATATTGGCATAACCTTTAAAAATATCTTCTCATACCTCTAGTTTTTATTATTTAAATGTGAGATAATACACAGAGAAGCAGCTGTATGTATCATATTCTGTATAAATATTAGTTGAATACATTAATATATTTTGTGTCTAGTATATGCACAGATTAATATGATTAGCCTTTTTTTTTGTTTTTGTTTTTGTTTTGAGACAGAGTCTTGCTTTGTTGCCCAGGCTGGAGTGCTGTGGCATGATCTCAGCTCATTGTAATCTCCACCTCCTGGGTTCAAGCAATTCTCTTTCCTCAGCCTCCTGAGTAACTGGGAGTATAGGTGCCTGCCACCATGCCCAGCTAATTTTTGCATTTTTAGTAGAGATGGGATTTCACCATGTTGGCCAGGCTGGTCTTGAACTTCTGACCTCAAGTGATCCTCCTGCCTAGGTTTTCCAAAGTGCTGGGATTAGAGGCGTGAGCCGCCACGCACGACCTGATTAGCCTTTTTGATGCCTATATTTTTATCCTGAAACAGAATTAAATGGGGTGATATTTAAATGTTTGACTGGGGTAGCATAAATGCTTAAACTCACTATTATCCTGATACCTAATCAAAGGCTTCACTCCACCTGGGTTAACCCAAGGGATGTGAATTTCTGAGGGACTCCCCCTCCTCCAGTGCTGCTTGCCACACAGGGAATACAACTTCTTGGTTCTTATGTTGCAGCCCTGGCTTTTGGTAACTGAACCACTTCAAAGACAAAGTGAGTTGAAGTAAAAGATATTCTTGATATTATTAAGATTTTTAATGTCCACATATGTAAAACATTGAATGCAAGACAAAAATTTTTGCAAGGAGAGTAGAGAATTGGATAAGCATCTATTGGCATCTCAAATGTTTCTCTGGGCCTGGATCTTTTAGTTTTATTTTATTTAGGACTCAATTTTCTCACATACTCCACCCAAACACCGGTCCTGCACCACTTCTAGTCTGTTGGAACTTCATACGCATTTTCCAGAAGGAAAAGTTTTCGAAGTTGGTCCTGATTGGAAGAAAACGTTGTTGGAAGATTCAGGAAGCTACAGAGAAGCTTGTCTCTGGCCCTAAATACATGAACTAAGATTCTAGACTTTTTCAACAGAGATTAAAGATTGTAGAGACTGGGGATTCTGGTAACATGAAATGTGTTTGTTCTCCTCAACCCAACTTCATTGAGAAGAGAAGACAGTTTTGACTAGCTGTTGAGAAAGAGACATAAGGTGTTAAACAGAACTCTAAAGTGTGAACTACAAGGAAAGACTTATCTCAAACCTCAGCATCCTCTTTGCATCATTTCGGTGGTCTGTGTTCTGGCTTCTAAGAAAGTCTGTCTTGGCACGGGTCTGGGAGGGGTGGTGACCAGAAGAAAGCTGTGCAAGGTCCTGGGGTGGTTCATACTTCCTTTAGTGCTTTGTTCTTGGGTTCCCTGAGGTTGTTGACTAGGCTGGCCAATTAGCTCTTCCTAACTTCCCAAAAGTACAGGAACAGACTGCTTTTGGAGGGAGTTCTGGAAGGCAGTGTAGTCAGTGGGAGGAGGTGGCCAGAGAGCTGGATTCACTTTTGAAAGAAAGATGAGTGTGATCATGATTTTTCCTCCCTACTACCAAGTTTACATTTATGACTCACTATATGAATAAGAGTATCAACTTTTTATCTAAAAATAATTGGACACAAGATTCGTTCTTGCCCTGAGTCAAATTATGAAGTATACATAGCCCAATAATTGTTTTAATTTATTGACTCCCTTTTCGTAAGGATTATGCAAATCACCCTACATGTAAGTCTACTCATCCTCATCAACCACAAGTCAAGCATTGCTAACTCAATTTTGTAAATTAAAAACTGATTGAGGTTCAGAGAGGGTAAGTAATTTTCCCAAAGTCACAGCAGAACTAGGATTCAAGAGCATGCTGGTTTGATCCAAGCACTCTTACCCCAAATAGGCTCATATTCTCAGAGGCATGTGAACCAGAGCAACTCCATCTTAAAGAGGAGCTGCGTAAAATGAGGCTGAGACCTACTGGGCTGCATTTGCAGATGGTTAAGGCATTCTAAGTCACAGGAGTCATTCTAAGTCATAGGAGGTCGGCACAAGATACAGGTCATAAAGACCTTGCTGATAAAACAAGTTACAGTAAAGAAGTCAACTAAATCCCACCAAAACCAAGATGGTCATGAAAGTGACCTCTGGTCGTCCTCACTACTACACTCCCATCAGTGCCATGACAGTTTACGAATGCCATGGCAATGTCAGGAAGTTATGCTGTATGGTCTAAAAAGGGGAGGCATGAATAATCCACCCCTGGTTTAGCATATTGTCAAGAAATAACCGTAAATATGGGCAACCATCAGCCCTCAGGGCTGCTCTGTCTATGGAGTAGCCATTCTGGTTTTGTGTGTGTGTGTGTGTTTGTGTGTGTGTGTGTGTGTGTGTGTGTGTTTGAGATGAAGTCTGACTCTGTTGCCAGGCTGGAGTGCATCGGCATGATCTTGGCTCACCGCAACCTCTGCCTCCTGGGTTCAAGTGATTCTCCTGCCTCAACCTCCTGAGTAATTGGTATTACAGGTGCACGCCACCATGCCCGCCTATTTTTATTTTTTATTTTTTTATTTTTTTGTATTTTTAGTAGAGATGGGGTTTTGCCATGTTGGCCAGGCTGGTCTCAAACTTCTGACCTCAGGTGATCCACCTACCTTGGCCTCCCAAAGTGCTGGGATTACAGGTGTGAGCCACCGTGCCCAGCCAGAGTAGCTATTTTTTTATTTCTTTACTTTCTTAATAAACTTGCTTTCACTTTTCACTGCAGACTCGCCCTGAATTAGTTCTTGTGCGAGATCCAAGAACCCTCTCCTGGGGTCTGGATCTGACCCCTTTCCTGTGACATATTTCTGGTGACCACCGAAGGGACTGTAATGCAAACGCCCTGACCCAACGGCTACCTTGGGTAAGTGTTGGGGTTCTGTAACAATACTGCCCCATTATAATGCCAATATTCTTTATTTATTCAACAAACATTTGTTAAGCACTAGGTCCCAAGTGTTGTTTAGGGAATAGATGGTGAACAAGACAGATACATGTTCCTTTCTCCCTTTAAATTTGCAGCCCAGTTTGGGGGAGTGGGGAAGAGAAATGGAAAAAGTAAACAAGCAAGTGGAGAGAATTAAAATAGAATTATATTTTGAAGGAAAGAGAGACAGGTAACTACATTAGAAGGAAGTCTCTCTGAGGAAGTATCATTTAAAATGCCAGTGCAATTATTAGGTGAAACAGCATTTTAGATAGAGAAAACAGCTTTTCACAGGACCGCTTTGGCATTTTGGATAAAACAGTACGTTATTGTGTGGGACCGTGATACACATAGCAGTACACTTAGAATTTCTAGTTGCCTAAATGACAGTAGGTCTCCTAGTCAGTGAGAACCAAATCTGACCCCTATTCATTTCCAGACTGCCCTCTGGGGGTGCGTTCCTTCTGTTGTTGAAAACCACTGGCAAGAGCTGTGATCCAAAAATAAGAAAAAGCTTGGCACATAGCAGGAATAAAGTAAAGAACTGTGTGGCTGGGAAAGGGGGTATGGCAAGAGACTGCTGGAGAGGGAGACAGGGCCCCAGATTCAGCAGGGCTGTGTAAACTGGGGTGAGGAATTTGGGTTATATTGTTAGTACTAAGGGAAGCCACTGAAAAGCATAGTTTGTTTTTCAGGGGAATTGGAGAGAAGTGGAAAATTTTGACATATGTTTTGATAGAGTTTCAGTCCCTCTGGGTGTTGGGTGCATGGGAAAGAGATGAATCAAGGACTGCACCTACTATTTTTTACTCTGTTTCTTTCACAGCACCAATTGTAATTATTTCCTAGACTTTTTTTTTTTTCTGTTTGTCTATTTCTCCAATTAGGTCCACATCTATTTTTATTCTGGTGCTCAATGTAAATTATTTCTCTGCTAAGGATCATTTAGGTTATTCCCAAATTTTGCTCTTTGCAAAAAAAAAAAAAAAAAAAAAAAAAACTACAGTGTTCACACACATGTCTTTGTGAATTTCCCTAGGATAAAAAGGTGTAATTGAAAGGGCAAGGCATAAGCTATACATTATAACTTTCTTTTTTGAAACAGAGTCTAACTCTGTTGCCCAGGCTGGAATGCAATGGTGAGATCTTGGCTCACTGCAACCTCCGTCTCCTGGGTTCAAGTGATTCTCCTGCCTCAGCCTCCCAAGTATCTGGGATTACAGGCATGTGCCAACATGCCTGGTAAATTTTGTATTTTTAGTAGAGATGGGGTTTTGCCATGTTGGCCAGGCTGGTCTCAAACTCCTAACCTCATGTGATCCTCCTGCCTCAGCCTCCCAAAGTGATAGGATTATAGGTATGAGCCACCACACCCGGCTTGTTACAACTTGATGAATATTGTCAAATTGCCCACTATAGTTGTACCAATTTACATTCCCACCCACGTTATGTAGGGGTATCTTTTCTCTATACTGTTTGTACTAATAATATCATTTGTAGAAATTTTTATAAGACTGGCAGGCAAAAATGATATCTTATTAAAATTTACATTTAAAAATATTTGAGAAGTGGATACTTTTATTTTTAGCTTTATTTATTGCCATTTATAATTGTTCTCTAGTGAATTGCCTAATACAGTTTACTCACTTAAATTGTCTTTTTGTTACTGGTTTTGTTACTAGTGGTGAATATGTATGAGTCTGCAGCAAACTTGATCCTTGCCTCCTTGGAAGAAAAAATTCAGCTGAGGGACAGAAGTAGATTTAAGGCAGAGGGAGAGACTGAAGCAAGCTTTATTGAGAGTTTATTAAAAAGTTTTAGAGAAGGAGCAAAAGAAAGCAACATCACTTGGAAGAGGCCAAGGGGACGACTTGAGAGATCCAAGTGGCCCGTTGAAACCTTGGCTTGGGATTTTTATACATTGGTTTGGTTTTGGGGTTTGCATTTTGGGGTTGGCTCTCCACATGTGCAGTGGCCTGCCAATACCTGGGAGGGGCCACATGCAAAGGGCCACATACTGAGGTTGTGTGCATGCTCTCTAGGGTTGATTTTCCTTTACCAGTCAAAATCCCCGAGAAAGGTCATACATCTGCCATTTTTCCTCTTAATGCACATGCGTGAGCCTGCTCACCCTACTCATAAGATCTTATCGAGGAAGCTGCTAATCACCAGCTACAGGTGTTTTCTATCTATTGGGAGACTGTCCTCCTCTGGCTCTGGCTGTAACCAATTCTCATTACAGAGTCACCTGACATTCCGGGGGGGTGGGCCCTCTCCTTTCCTGTTCATGTAAGTCTAAGAGTTTATGGCATCTCTTTATATGACATGAAAGTAACGGAAGACCCCTAACTCAGTCTTAGTGGGGCAGGGAAGGCTTGATAAGGGAAGGTCCAACTGAAGAAGCTTAAAAAGTTTCTTGGAGAAGAAAGGATCAATGAATGAAGGGGTAGGAGAGCACAGGCCATTGTGGCTATTGTCAGCAGTGTGTGTGACTGGAGCATAGACCATTTGTGGGGAGTATCAGGAGGTAGTTTAGAAGTAGGACATCTCATGGAAGGCTTTCATGCCACCGTGAGTGAATTTTTAGTAAATTAACTGATATATGCCTCTCTTTCTTTTCTTTTCTTTTTTTTTTTTTTTTTTTTTTGAGACAGAGTTTTGCTCTGTCAATCAGGCTGAAGTACAGTGGCACGATCATGATTCACTGCAGCCTCACTCTTCTGAACTCAAGCGAGCCTCCTGCCTCAGCCTCCTGAGTAAATGAAACTACAGGTGCATGCCACCATGCCCAACTAATTTTTCTTATTTTCAGTAGAGATGAGGTCTCACCCTGTTGCCCAGACTGGTCTCGAACTCCTGAACTCAAGCAATCCTCCTGCCTCAGCCTCCCAAAGTGTTGAGATTACAGGTGTAAGTCACCATGCCCAAGCCCCTCTCTCCCTTTTGATTAGCCTAGGAACTGTCCTTCTATGGCACAATTAGCTAGGATTGTGTATGTGTACTGCTTTAAAGAAGGGCCACTATAAAAACACTCAGGAAAATATGATTCCGTTAGGATGTAAGCTCTTTGAGGAGACAACTTATTGGCAGGTGTCCTGTAAATCCTCAATAGTCTACAGTGGTATTCAATGAGTATTTGTTAAATTAATGAAGAATCACATTCTTGGCTGTTCAGTCTCAAGAGCTCATTTGAAGTTGTAAGAACTCATGTCCTGGAGTTTCAGGAGTCCCAATGTCTCAGATAATCAAGTTAAAGACCAATATGATGGATTTGGAAGGGTAGGGGATCAGTCAGAGCTAGCTTTTACTACTATAGATTTGGAAACTCTTCTTCCTCTGTGGGAAAGATGTGCTCTGGATGGGAAGCAGTGATGTGTACTGCAGCAGTAAATGCTGATGTGTGTTCCTGAGGAAGGACCTTCTCCATGCCCTCCTTCAGGCTCAGTCTGGAAAAGAAAGGAGCGTATTGTGCAAATCAAATGTGTATTTGGGGGATCAGAGAGCAGAAAGTGACTATGCTTTACAATCTCAGTGAAGCCAGGAGTGGTGACAGTTTTGCCGACATTTCTCTCTACCCTGCATGAGGTGACAGTAGTAGAGCAGAGGGGACCACGTGTGATATTTAAGTAAAAAGACCCCAATAGAGCATGAAGAACAACTAATATACTCTGGATGCCCACTGAGAACAGTTTGGAAGTCTCTGAGAGAGCCCAACCTAAGTAGATCATGAACAGGGCAAGAAGAATGTAGTTGTGTCTTGTACGGCACAAAAACCATAAACCAAATGGGCATGGCAGTGTCTCAGTTGATGCCAAAGGGGACAGGTGAAGACTGAAGGTCAGGTGTTTGTCCTCCTCCTTCCCTATGCCTTGCTGCATTCTGTCATCTGGGATACTGCTTAGACACAACCAGGGGGAAGGGTGGAGAAATAAATTCTGAAATAATTGAGAAAACAGAATTAAATTAAGATTTAATCTCTAGCAATGGAATGGGTGCACAAAATAAAAGTTAAGCTGAGTGGTGATTAGCCAGTGTTCTCTTAGAGGGACAGACCTAATAGGATAGGATATTATATCAATATATAGATGCAGATATATAGATATATGTATCTGTATAAGTTTTATATATATATATGTATATATATATAAATATATATATATTATAAATATATAATATTAAGTATTAACTTACACTATCACAAGGTCCCACAGTAGGCTGTCTGCAAGCTGAGGAGCAAGGAAGGCCAGTCCAAGTCCCCAAACTGAAGAACTTGGATTCTGATGTTCTAGGGCAGAAAGCATCCAGTATAGGAGAAAGATGTAGACTGGGAGGCTGGGCCTGTCTCTCTTTTTCACATTTTTCTGCCTGCTTTATGTTTGCTAGAAGATGATTAGATTGTGCCCACCAGATTAAGGGTGGATGTGCCTTCCCCAGCCCACTGACTCAAATGTTAATATCTTTTGGCAACACCTCTCATGGGCACACCTAGGATTAATACTTTGTATCCTTCAATCCAATCAAGTTGACACTCAGTATTAACCATCACAAGTCGAAGCAAAATAAAGTTGAATTTGTTGATGCTTGAACTTGTGGGTCGAGATTTTCCTCATTAACATTATTAAATATGGATTTAATTCCACATGAGATGGTGGCCATATTTCTTCATTCTTTTGTTCAGCTTTCGGTAGGTACTAGGTATGAGTTTGGGCAGGGGCAAAAGTGAATATGATGGACTCCCTGACCTCAAGGATGGGACGGTAAAGTCAGGGAGAATGGTATAAATACAGTCACAATATAATGGTATCTTGCTAGAGCAGAGGAGTGTATAGAGTTCATGGGGGCTTTAGATAGATTCAGTGACAGCTTCTCAGAGGAAAGAGCTTTTAGTTAAGACATAAGAGATGAGGAAGAGATAGCAGCTGTATTTTTATATAGAA